CTGTTGGTGCAAAGGTAATTTACAGTGTTTAGAGAAACTTCTTGCAGCAGTGGCTTATGAGCAAGAATGAGAAGTTCCAAGAGCCTGCGGGAGGAACAAAGAAAAATAAATTAGTCATGAAGTCAGAAAACAAAGTCTATGACCTTTCTAAAGCCAATGTTACAGTYGAAGATGAGATAGAGACCCGTAACATGAAGCTACCTAGTGCCTTGCCAGCACATCTGCTGGGGAATGTTTTTCATTTTGATCAGAAGCAGCTAACTTGGACTTGGTAACATCTACTGCCTCTGACACCAGGGAAGGTAAATCAGGACTCGGACTCATATTTGCATAGAAAATACAAGATCCTTATCTCTGTTTTGCAATGTACATTGCCAAGCTCTTCTAAAACTGCCTGTTGTGTGTGGTTTTGAGCAGAATGATAGATGTTTTCCAAATGTGAGATCACAGTTTGACCTTTAAGTTCCATGTGTGGTGTGTGCTTTCATTCTTCTTTTCTCCTTGCAATGCTCAACAAAGATTTCAGGAAAAAAAGGAGTTCCTCTCTGAGGAAATGAGGAAATACCTTCTAAGGACTAGAAAGGAAGACCAGGAGCCCTTGATTTTGCCTGATGAATTTCTGTGTGACCATAGTACATCCACCAGAGGAATTGATGTAATGTTATTCCTGTGGGATTAAGATAAAGCTTTGGGAATGTCAGAAATGCTCATTTGGGATCTTCAAAAGCATAAAAGGAGGTGATGAAAATCGAAGAGCATAGTGGTGTTTGAAGTGGGACCACAGAAAAATAAAGTGAGAGGGGAACRCTTTTGGAAGGGTCAGATTACAGAAGTTTGTGCACAGTATCCACCATGACATTTCTGGTTCCTATTCTGTAATACAAAACAGACGTTTCTTACAGAAGTAGACAATCACTGGATGCCCACCAGGCACCGAGGCTTTGCTGCAGATAATTATGATCTGATGAATGAGCTGCATCTCGGGCTGGGCTCTAACAATGGCTTGCCAGGAGCTCTGCCATCCCACAGGGAAGGAGCTGATGCTCTCCAGCTCCTCCAGAATCACTCTGGCAGAGATCCACACGTGGTCCCAGCTCTGCCTGGGAGCACGTAGCCCTCCGTGGTTTCTGCAGCAGTAGCTGTGTGAGGATGCTGGGTGATCAAAGCACGGGCTAATCAGCTTGGATGGGTCAGCAGTTYGTGGTGGCTGCAAAACCAGATGACTCCTGGTTTGTGCCCGCTCCGAATGTTCAGATGTGCCCTCTGATGGCTGCTGCTGCTGGCTCAGGGCTGTTTGATGCTGATGCAGCCCCGGGTTGAAGATGTTAAATGTCCAKCAGGGCTGTGTGCTCAGAGCCCGAGGGACGGCGCTCACCCAGGCGTGAGGAGCCATCCATGGAGCYGCCTCGGGACCAACCCCATGGTTTATGGTTCAGGAGCCACGCTGTGATGAAATGATCTGCCTCTTGCATGGCAGAGACTGACAAACTCTGCGAGGCTGGGAACTCCTTCAAACTGCATGAATGAGTTTGCTGATGGTTTGCCAAAATACGCRGGTTATTCTCTTATGGCACATTGGTTTAATTAGGGACCCAGGGAACCCCCTGACTTTCCCTAAATATCCTGCCAGCTCCATCCGCAGGTAACCTGCTCTGCACCAAGACTAGCAGAACTGCAGGCTGTTGATTACTATTTGTGTTACAGGAGCTTTCAACTTTCCCTTTTAGGACTGGGCCCTGCTTTGCTCAGTAATCAAAACTTTCCAGCCCTTCTTTTACAAAGCAGCAGGCACCTTACAGGCTCTTGGCTTGCCTTTAGCTTTTTGATGTATTCTATGTGCTTACTGTGCTGACTTGAAACTYGCTCAAGGCAGAAGAATTATAAAATTAGCAGAGAGGGACAGATGAAAAAAGTAAATAAAGTCTTCGTTTTTCTTATGTAGCACCAATCTGTGCCAGCCTGATTTCTACACAGRAACTTTAAATAGAAATTCATGTTTCCCTTTGAAATATCCCAGAAAAAGAAACCAAAGATATCCCAAAATAGTTAGCGAACTACAATAGCTTGATGAAAGCCTCTTTACAGTTTTTCACTGTGCTTTGAATTCTGAGATTTACCCAGCCTTCTTCATCACCCTCTGTAAATGCTGAATCACTGTAGGACATCTATCAAGATTTAATGCATTCACTGCCTTCAGTTCAGGAGCTGTGATTTTGGGATGGTCTCTGTGCACTTTTTTTTTCCTATGCAAAAACTTAATTTTAGATTTACTGATCTAAGAACAACAGGACACCAACTCTGGCTTTTCTTCTGCTGGTATGAACCATGATGTCCTGCTGAAGTACATGGAGATGCAGTGCTGGAAAAGAGCTTTCACTCTTTTTCACAGCTGTGTGTATTTATTGCACAGACATCTGAACATGTATCTCCACTGTCTGATTAKCTCTGCTTTCAAACAGGAAGTTTCAAAGTTTTGAGTTGTTCTCAAGCCTGGAGCTTTCTGATTGCACAGGCTGGTTGATCATTTTCTGCCCTCTACATTGAGCTGCAGCAGCTTGACTCTGCTTTCCTGCTGAAATAACAGGTGGAAATGTGCAGAAACTGAGCTCGGGACTGTGGTGACACTTTCAGTGTGCGCATTTTTCATGAGCCTTTGAGAGCACAACATTGGCTCGGGTCTTGTATTTCTGATAGCTTCTTGAAACAAACAGGTGTGATTTAGGCTGTGCTGAAGAAAAAGAAAAGCATCTATTTCAGCACATTATCCATGTGCAGTGAGACACTCCTAGCAAACCACAGCTTAGCTCAGAGAAAGATGCTGTGTGAAGAGGGCTTGGACTCATTCTTACTAATGAAACCAAAACCCAGAGCTTTGAATTGGCCCACTGTCTTGCAGAAAATCCAGCATCCCAAGAGAACCAGGCGGCTTTTTACAGTGCTTGTGCTTTTCTGTTCATTCACAGTTTGTTTGTTAGATGTCATTTGCATGAATAGTCAAACAGTGTTTTAATTCTGTTCCATCAACRTTTCCAAGCCAAGTCTCCCTTTGGCACACAACAGCGATACAGTTGTTCGGTTACTCAGCTATTGTTAAAAGAGGCTTAGGTTAAATTCTGGAAGTTAATGAGAGAGCGGTGTGCACCAATTTGGATTATGCTTTATGAACTAATTAAATACTTATTTACATGCTGTGTTTACTGTCCTTGTACACAGCAGTTTTTGTTTAATACTCATTTCATGTGCAGGTAGTTTACAGCTTAYTTTGACCTCATATCCTTGATGTGAGTGCTCTCTTCCCAYCACACAAARRGGGAGGCAAATTAATATYCCTGCCTCCCTTGACAACAAGGCTYTTTTTCCTGGGTGAAAGAATTTTTGTAAAGCAAAATGTGTTTATGTCTTACCTGTATTCAGCAATGGTCTTCAAAGTAAAAATAAGAGAGTTTTTTAAAAATTTCGGGATATAACGTTAGTCTTCTGAAATCCCATTAAAACATGTAAAGAGACGATCTGATTTCTAGATCAAATTTCTAGATTTGTTTACAAAGCAGATCTGAACATAATCAGCTTCTACACCACAATGGAAACAGAATCCCCTGAAGCCACTCACAGCCATGGGCCCCTCAWCCACCATCCTAATCCAAGGATCTGCTTGCTCATCAACCAGAAATGAGCCTGGATCCAGGCATTCCCTAGAAGGTTCCCCATGTGCCCTGGAGAGTGTGAGCCTCCTCCTGGAGCTGCTTCAGCAGGACACTCAGGACTGTTGAAAACTTGGATGCCTACCAGGCATAAAATAAGGCTCTTCTGTCAAAAAATACTGATGAAACAAATTAAAATTCACTTTAAAATGTCAGTGGGGATTGCTTTGCAAAACCTACACTGATGTATTTAATTTTAATGATTTTTGAAGAGATAAAATATGGGCCATTAAAACTGGGGCTGATTGAAGTAGCAGGACATTATTTACCATGTTTCAAATGAAAGGTTCCCTGAAAATTATTTATTAGCTTGAAGTAATAAATCTAGTTTGCAAGAACAAATGAAATCTAGGTCCAGCCAGCAAAACAGTTCAGTTTGGTGCAACCTTTACCAAGGGAGGGAGGTTTTAGGAAAGGAACTTGCCTTGCAGGGATCTCATCTGCCTCTTCTAATTTGTAAAGCTAAACCCCTGCCATTTGGCCAAGTCTCATGCAGTCTTCATCACTGAATTCTTAAATCAGCCTCTTTAACAGTTAATATTTGCCCAGCTTGCTTGTAGCAGTGTTTCCTAAGTAATCATTATTCATCCACATTTCATTCTCTACTCTAAATATTTACAGTTTTCTTTTCAGTGTTCCTGGGGTGATTTCCCCAAGTGCGTGTTCAGCGATGTAGCTCGGGTATTAAAAAAGAAGACAATTTTAATTTGCTGGCATTTTGTAGCTTTTGTTCTGCTTGCAAAGTTTAACACTGATGAGTTTTGACACACAATAAAGCCAGCCCATGTRCCTGAGCAGCTTTTTGGGGGAGGCACATCCTCTTGGCAGAGTGTGATGTGATGGGTCCCGGATGGAAGAGTTACAGGGTGCAGCTGAGCTGATCTGGTGAATGGCTCTCAGGAGAGAGGTCCCATCTCTCTGCTCACTCATCCCCTTCCCTGTGCATGGTCCTGCTCAGCAGAGAGATGTTTGGGATTCTGCCTGGATTGCCCTGCTCCAGGCTCCAGTGGGCAGGCATGGGTCAGCTCAGCTGCATCCTGTAGGTGCACCATGGTACCTCCAAGGCCAGTTAGGCTGGATTTTGATACCTCTTAAACTGAAGTCTCTGATTATGTATTTATTTTAAATGATTCCCTGAATTATGACCTGCTGGGAGGCTACAACAGAGTTTGGAAGAAGAGCCTCTTCCCTCTCTCATTAACAGAATTTTTCATGTTTTAAATATGATCACAAAGTGGTTGTCTGGCTGTAACACCACCTTCATGGTTACCATTGTTAAAGTGCTGAACTCTTTTGCAGGTTAATGAGATTTATCATGATGAGTCCCTGGGTGCTCACATTAACGTTGTCTTGGTGAGGATAATCCTGCTGAGCTACGGCAAGGTAAGGAAAGGTTAATTTAAATGGAGGATATCAATATCTATAGACTTCATTCTTTTATGAACAGTGTATTTAATGRTGATATGCATTGGTTTTGTATTTTAATTCACATATATTATCCTTACCAGTCTATGAATATAAAGAACTTTCATTTWTATATATATCTGTTTATCATTTGAACTCTACATTTCAAATAATTTCAATTTCTTCTGGGTTTCCCCTGTGTCATTTGAAGTTACTGCTTAGCTCTGGCAGTCTGTCTTTTCAGATTTGTTTGGAATAGTCCATGAGACACAGAGAACATTTTGGTTCCTAAAGAAAACAAAACGTGTTCTGGTAGAATTGTATGTGAGTAACAGTAAACACAGCGTCAACTCTGCAAGATGCTGAGGGCTACAKCCTCTTTCTAAGAACTCATTTATATTTGTGCTTCTTATCAGTGGAGCTACACATGTGCCTAAAGTTAAATGGGAGTCCTGTGGAATAGGTGCCAGAAGGCAAGAGCTCTGCAGGTCAAATCTGTAATTAAGAATATCAATTGTTCTTTCTCTCAGTTTCTGGGGAAGGGGTTGCTCCACAGGCAAAACTTGGGTAAAGAGGAAAAAARTGTTAAATGGGTTTCAAAAGTATTGATCTGTTCAGTACCTGTGTCCTGTTATTGCCATCAGATTCAACACCAGAGTCCATGGAAACAGGAATGGGGCATTTCAAACATGCTGGTAGAGGACAGAAGCCATCACTTTTTGTCAGGGCTTTGGCCACATCACAAAAACAGAATTTGCAGGTCTGTGGGATCTGCRTGTGGACATTCTGCTTCTGGGATCTAATCCACAACCTGCAGGGGACAGTGCTTTACATTCTGAGTTGTCCTGCTGGTTTCAGTGGAATAATTCTATCACAAGCTTGCCTCTAAGATAATTTTTCTCGCATTTCCATATCTGATTCTTGTTTACATGAAAGACAATCTATGCCTTTCTRAAAATAATAAAATGTATACATAAAAGATACAATTTCAGAGCTCCTCTGCTTTACAGTGTAGGGACCTGCATGGCATGGCTGTATAAGAATACATCCTTTTCTCTTCCTGTTTTTAAAGTTCCTGATCAGTAGTATCAGGGAGTAGRAGGAGAGATTTTTCTTCAGAGGTTTGGGATAATTTAGCAGTGGAAAAGCAGAGAAGAGGCACGTAGTTCTTACTTTCTCAATCTGTTCTGGGGAGTTAAACCGAAGTTTTGCAGACTTTACTATCTCCCACACCAGCACTAACCATTTTAGGAATATATATATTCAAAGTAYATAATAAAAAGAAGGATACCTGCACAAGCTAAAGCAGTGCATGAATGTAGCAACAGCGTTTCACAACATGAAAATGGTATCCCACTCTTGTTTGAGTAAGCATTTCTTTTGAAAGCGTGGAGCTGATATCTTCAGATTCATTTGCTTCACTGCAGGCAATTTGTATATATTATCAAGGGTGCCATTTAAATAATCATAATAATTACATTATRGTTCTGTAATTGATGAAATATGTACCATCAACGTCAGGTTTATGACAGCACTCTCAGCTGTTGCCAATTCTCCACCCCTGAGCAGTATTCTACTGTATTGTGGGGTTTTTTAGAGGATTATATTATTTTATACAATATGTCATCTGTTGATAAGAATAATATGGACAATACTTGAGTTGCATAGCAACCAACCTTTCACTGGTTCTTGCTTGAAGGTACTCCACTCCTTCAAATGTACTTATTTTTTAATATTCTCAAGCACAGGCAATTCTACATTCAGAAGTTTCWGTAATTTCAGGAATAGCATYAATTGCCCTGGCAAGATGAAAACAYGCAAGATATTCCTTGGTGATCACATGCTGAAATTACTTCAGGGATGAATTCAAAAGATCTGACATGGTTTTACTGAATTAACGGTTTGTGTGAGTTCTCACCTCCGGACTTTGAGGGGGTGGCAGGCTGAGCCTGGCCAAGAGCACCAGGCTTGGGCTGTGGCTGGGAGCTGTGGAAGGCAGAGGGGCTGGGCTGGGGCTGGGCTGGGTTTGCAGGGGTCTGCAGAAGCTGCCAGCCCTTCCCTGACTCCCCACTTCTCTCTTAGYCCTTCCAACAAATGGTGTACCAGAGACTGATGTGAAGGCTTCAACTGTGCCTTGCTGCTGCCCACTCATTCATCAATTCCATCATTAGGGTAGAAAAATGTGTTCTGCAAAGGCTGCTCCATATCTGTGCTGGCTTCAGAAGCCACAATGCATTTCTCTGCRTTTTCTTGACATTGTCTTCCAAAGTCGTAGGGTTTTTTGATGTGATGGGATGTTGCAAATAAGTAAACAGGGTACATGCAGTGCATTTTTCTTCAAATGGGAAAAAGATGAGCTGGCTCGCTTCTGCCTTTTTGACTTCAGTAGTAGGAAGATTGGTTCCAAATTTTGGCAACTGCAGATACATTTGAGATTAATATAATTCAATGTTTGTGCGAATTATTCCACTTAGACCTATTTTGGTTGTAACAGCTCTGTAATCCAGCTAGCTCTAGAATACTCAGGGAAATAAGCAAAGCAACCACGAGCACCAAGTGCAGAGGAGGTTGCAAGAGATGAGCTGAGCATGCATTAAAAAACCCTGACTGGTTATTCTGAAATTTGTTTGGAAACATTTAAATACTGAGCACTGCATAAAATCCTCTCATCGCCTCTTTGAGGTGAATGAATAAAGATTATTATTCCCATTTTACAGCTAAAAAAACAAAGATGCTAAGTGTTATTTTCCAAGGCCACACGGAAGGCCACTGGCAGGCTGGGGATGAGACCTCATAAATTCCTGGCTCCAGCCCCACACTCTGTCCACTGACAATGGTGACTCTGTGTGCAGATGAGCTGCCCTTGCACAGCCCAGAGGAAAGCACATGTTAGCTGGGATGGAGGTCATTAATACGGTGATTAATGAAAAAACACTCAGAAAGAATTTTGCAGGAACTGCAGGGGTTTCAATAAGTGCAGCCACCTGAGGATTTGTGAGGGTTATTTCTTGGGAAATGTGACTGTGGCAGTGCAGGACGTCCCTGAGCTCTCCTTTGGCASKWTGCACAGCCTGAGTGAGCTGCATTYAGCCTGRAGCAGCCTGGGATGGGCTCAGGGGTGCTGGGTCTGCTCTGTAGCATCTGGAAATGCAGCCAGGAGGGAGGGAAAACCCATGTAAGCTGCAAACCAGTGCTGGYCCCAGAACAAGTGGTTGGACACTGACCATGTGTTAACTTGATCAAAGAGGAACCTGACCACCAATGCAGAGAGACTTTCAAATAGCTTGGAGGAGGGAAGCAAACCCAAATRACTTTGAGGTGGCAGTTCAGGAAGAAGATACTGTGGGGTGGATGCCTGCAATCTCACGGGACAGGACTGTTCAGCAGAGAAGGACTTTTTGATTTTGTATGTCTGAGATATTAGGAGAGCTCCTGCTGCCTTCATTTGGGACAAGACTTTACCTTTGATCTTTTCATGAAATAATGCTCTCTTGATCTCTGACCTTTTCATGTCTGAGCTTGATGCAAGCAGGGAGATGTTCTCKGTTCAGCCAGGTTGGAAAGTGCTGGTTCAGTCTGAGTCAGGTTCTTCTCTCTGTTTCCCAGAGGGCACCCTTGGAAACACAAATCAGGTTTATCCCTGAAATCTGGTTTATCCTTACTATTTTGTGATTGACCCTGCTGTTTCCCTGGAGAGAAAAGGATGAGCACCTCCACTTAACTCTGCTTCTCCTAGAAAGGTTCTGAGAGCACCTGTGCCTGGTATGAAAGGATATGTTAGCTGCACATTGGGAAATGGAACAGCTTTGCTTTGAATGGACCTCTGGGGTGTCATCTAGTCCAGCTCCCCTGCTCAAAGCAACCTGGAACAGGTAGTGCAGGATTTGTCCAGCTCTATTCTGAATATYTCCAGAGACTCAATAACCTCTCTGGACAGCCCTTCCCAATGTTTGGCTACTCTTATGATACAACTACAGTAATGCTCCTAAAGGCTTTTTTTTTCTTGCCCATTGCCTCTTCTCCTTTCTCTGGATACCACTGTCTCCATCACCTTTATTYCCTGCCCCTGCCCAACGATCCACTGAGAGTTTCCTGAGCCTCCTCCAGCCTCTCTTTGTATTAGGTCATGAATGTGAGTTGAGTGTCTTATTTTTCTGCTGGTATTGGTAGATGGAGAAGACCTGAAAGAATCAGCAGGAATCAAGCCCTGGGTCTTACAAATGTGTCTGAAGATGGAGTTATGGACCCCAGCATTTGGCCATATCCAGTAACTAGCTCTGCACAGGCTGAGTTGCAAGGCCAGAATCTACATATTGTATAGCATTTTGGCAGCTGATCAAATTTTTGCACTGTTTTCATGTGTTTGAGGTGGGGATAAAGAGAAGAGATATTTCCCCTCCTGTTTTTTTTTTTTTTTTTTTTTTTTTTTTTTTTTTTTTTTTGAGTTGCATTATTTGTATGTTAGACTTGGAGCCTGTAATATCTCAGTGTATTTTGCTGGGACCTTGAAGAATTTGGAGCTGGCTGATAGCATAAACAGTGCTTTGTATTCCTGATCTGCTTACATTCATACAGAATTAGAGACTGAAAAATGTTTACAAACTCCTGCCATAAGAAAGCTTTAAAAATCCTTTGAATATAAAATGACAGTGTGCTGAATGAGCTATTTTTGTTAGTTTGGTTACCATGGACATTCAATAATTGTATTTATTTATCTTTGGCTTGTCTTGTTCAGGATGAGAGAATAATATAGAAGATCTAATCCAATATCTAGTGAACGATAGAAGTGCCAAGTAGAAGCAATGTAAACTGTGTTTTGCAGAGTCTTTACACATTCAGGAAGGGAAAGTCATATGTTGAATTGTTTCCTGGATGTGTGCACTGCTGTGGTCCAACTTTGCTACCATAGTTTGAAGCCTGTCATGTGAAGAATATTTCTGCTCCTCCTGGAGCTGCTGAAGAGCTGCAAAACCTTCTCCGTTGGTACTCTTGGAGCACCACCTAATGGATGAGTTAGGAAAGGTCCTAAGCTTCTGACCAGCCTAAATTTATCATGTTCTTATCACCGAGTACCTGCTCATCATCACTTTTGCAAAGTTGTACCCAGTGATGCCAAATAGCAGCTAAATAAAACAGTTGTTTAAAGGTGCTGCCATTCTGCATGTGATACCAGTGTGTCTTTCACATGGGCTGGCATTGTGAACATTCTTGAAATATTTGGGTACAATATTGACTAAATTTGTTGTTTTCTTCTAAGATAACTTTGAAATTGTTAAAGGAAAAAAAAAATCATATTTCTTCCTTGCCCCACACTCTCCACAAGTGTTTGAAGGACTTTGCAGTCAGCTTCATGAATTGTTCTTCAGTGTGTTCATGTAAGAGAACTGAACATCACACTGATAACTTCCCAAAGGATCAGACAGTATGAAAGGAGGTTCGTTAGAGACTTCTCTAATGGCTTKCAACATTTCTTATTGCCCTGCTTTGCCTCTTTGTATGAATGGTAGCTGCAACTTAGTTGTCTACTATTTTAGTTTAGTTGAGGTTTTTTGCTGCTTCCATCTAAGAAGGAAGGGAGAGGAGAAGAAACGAAGGCAGAATCAAAAGAAAGGAAGGAAAATGTACAGCACTGGTAGATTTTGAGTTTCCCAGAGAAAAGGTCTCGACTAGTTCTGTAGGGCAGACTGTCCTCGTCACCCTCTGTGGTGTCCCCTCGCCTGGGGGATGTTTTCCCAGCTGAGCCCTTTCCACTCCTTGGCCAACATCTCCATCTGTTTCCATCAGCAGTTCACAGATTTTTTGCTTTTCTTGCTGTGAGAAGGAAAGTTTCCCTTGCCATTGGCAGTTTTCCTGCTGATCAGCTGAGTAATGCTCTCCACAGGCCTGCTGTCCTGCTTGGAAAGAGATCCTTCCCAGCCAGGTCGGAGCTCCCAGCCAGCTGCAGGACCTGCGTGTTCCTGGCAGTGTGGGACCTTTGCTGGCCAAGAGTCACACCTACACCTCATCTCCATGTGCWGCCTGCTGGCCCCCAAATTCCCCTGTTTGCAGCATGACAAAGAGGGATTTTACCTTGCRGTCCTTATTRCTGTACACAGCTCATCTCTYCTCCTCTTTCTCATTTGCTTTGTCYGTTTAATAASGGGTTGGGCTCTCCTGTGYCTGGTGAAAGCTCACTTTGACTTCCAAGAGAAAATATTATTAAGTGTTATCTGATATCTGTACAAGAGTAATTTTTGGACAACATCCTTCTCAARCATATGACATCTGCCCTGTCGACTAACAAGCTGTGCCTGGTCCCATGATTTCCTAAGCTTCTTTCTTTCAGGACTGCAGYGTTTATCTGTAAAGGCAAGGCAGCTGGAAAAGTGGATGAAATTCTGTATAAAGGCATGCCTGGCTTAGGAAATCTTTGATCCAAAGACCACTGAAGCCCTGGAGGGTCTTTGGAGGTAAAAACTACCTCTGATTCCCTTCCCTGGCCAAACCGTTGCCTGCTGTGAGGAGAGGACCGTGGTGTTCGTGGTTCTTCAGTCTCAGCCAGTGCAGTTGCACAGCACAGTGATCTGCACTCACTGTCAGACTGATGGGTCCCTGGCCATGCCATGCTTACTGTTAGCACTGTTGAAGCCTTTCTGATTTGAAAGTCTGGAAAATCGTAGAAAGTGTGAGTTTYGGTGAAAATCTGTTAGGAATCAAGTAAGTTTTGCTTTTCAGAGTGCTGCATTACYGTGAGGAAATACAATGGATTAGTGACCAGGGATTGAGTGCTCAGTGGACTTGAGTACTCAGCAGGCAGACTGAGATWTTCCTCTCACTCTTTGAAGTCCTCCTCACTGACAGAACCTCAACTTGCTACTTGCTTAGCATGTGGACACTCAAAATAATTGACTTCCTATTGAATGTGCTGTTTCCCAACTTAAAGAGCAGTAAGGCTCTGATTCATGATGTTAAAATTGTGTAATTGGCAAAGGGGTTGCATCAGCTGAAACATAATTTATAGGATTTGTGTGTTCTCAGTTTCCCCTCCTATGCCAAAGGGGGTTTTCTTCATTCTCCCCATTGTTTTGGATGCACAAACACCACAATGCTCCACATTAACCGGTTGTTCCAGCTTCCTTTTCTTGAAGACAAACTCTAAAATCAGTGTTTTGATCAGTAAACATTGATGTTCTCTTGGACTGAGCCCGTGGTTTTGCTCTGCAATGGCCCTCAGTGCACAGAGAGCTGTTGTTGACCCACGGCAGACGCTGTGCCCGAGCCACGGGAGCTGTGCTGGACTGGGCTGGCCTCTGGCACACTCGGTGTTAAWCAGAGGAGTGCTGAAACCTGCTCTCTGTGTCCATTCAGAGACAAATCTYTTGCTTTTGTGATGGACTCGGCTGACAAGGGTTTGGTTTAGTGGGCAGGGAAGGGATGTCATATGACAGAGGAAAGCTACAAAGCAGCGGTTATTAGGAAATCATTGATGTTTTATTTTCTATGCTTTTTTTGCTGATCATGCAAATTAAGGATTTCTCTGCAAATAATTGGATACCCTTAAACAAAGCATGTTTTGATAGGGTGTATGTTTTCATTGTTTTCTGATCAATGTATCTTATATGATGTGATTTTCATTTGGTAGAACATACACAAGAGGACATTATGAAATACGGAACTATTAGCAARCAGTTCACAACTGGAGGTTTCTCAGCTTCATTGTACAGCCTTGTTYGGTTTTGAGTGTTGTAGTCAGATTTTTCACTGACCTCCCTGAAGGGATTGATCTCTTTTGTGCAGTTTTGGAGAAATGAGAAGAGTGGAGATGATGGAGATGGCTTTTGTGTTTGCTTGCTTGTTTGTTTCTGTTTTACCACTGGTGGATGTTATTAAAGATCTCAGCAGTAGTAAACCCTGTTTAACAGACTAGGMTTTTTGCTTGAAGAGCCAGGATTTTGCCATGTATTAGTGACTCAAAGTTTGTTTAAGTATGTTCTTATAAATATACAGAGAATAAATAAAGGCACCACAACTGTCCCACCATTTAAAATACAGTTATTAGTTCAGTTTCCAAGGGAATTATGGCTGGAAGCAGTATGATCCAGCACAGGATTATATTACAACTTTTTCATTCCACAGTGGTATCAGAATCCAAGCTGTGTCTCTATTTGGTTTATAAATTTGTTTTTCTGAACATTTGCAGAATTGTAATATCTCAGTTTTGCCAAAATCAGACCTCAGTTTGGCAGACACTTCTTTTATCAATTCCAGTTGTTCTTCCACAGCCCTTTGAGGATTTTCTTTTTCATGTAGTCAATATTCTATGTACTCCATCATGCACTCAATTAGAGGAYACGTCAAATACATCTGTATTTAAACATGAATTGTTTTACTTCTCTCTTGTTTTTGGCCTAGGCTAAGTTTTGCTTTACGTTAAGTATTTTGGAATGGCAAATGCTTGCAGTACAGTATAGCATCTGAATTGTAGTGGGTTTTGTTATGATTACAGTGTTGTCATGGTAATATAATTTCTGCAAATGRAAAGCCAGGGTTCACATATGTAGTTCTTACAAATCCTGGAAGGCCTGGGACAGGTCAGTTAGTCATACATTTTATAGTATCCCACGTGCAATAAGCTTTCCAAAGTCTTAGCAGTGCAGAGTATTGAGCAGAATTAGCTGGGAACCCTCTTAAGAAAGCACTACTTCAAAAAAAAAAAAAAAAAAAAAAAAAAAAAAAAAAAAAGGAAAAAAAGGGAAATGTAATAGTTGGATTTTAAAATACCTTTCTCTTCCTTGCTCGAGAACTGTCCTTTGAACCTCATCTAACACATCAGCTCACTGGAGCCAGCCAAGTTCACCATCCATGKAACGTGTGGTTTACATGGAGAATGGCATCCCACAGTGGGAAGTTATGTGTTCCACCTTCTGAATGATCTTCAGATGAGTAATGGGATAAAGAAAATGCAATTTAGAAGACAGTCACTGAGAAAGTCCATTTCTGGACATAATCGTTCAAGTACAGCTGAAAAAGAACGCTTATTTTTACACTGACAGAGCATCCAGAACTGTGCCAAGGTCTGACAGAACAGCCTTAACAGCTCAGTTTCGTGACAAAAGCAGCTGATGAGCAGGGCAGGGCAGTTGTTGTGATTGCCTTCCCTTGGCCATTAGGCATTGCTGTTCCCCACACTGGGTGAGTCTCTGCTGGTCAGGACCTGCTGTGGCTCCAATATGAACACGAGCTCCATCAGAAACTSCATATCCAGACTGGAAGTGATGGTAAAGAGATGATAAAGCCATGTAAWCTGCTGCCAGGGTGGCATAGGAATAAGTGTGCACAACCCAGTATCAGTTTTGTCATTAAAATACCTGTCTTTTTATTTCTCTTTTCTCTTTTTATTTTTTTTTTTTTTTAAATCTTAGATATCGTTAAATGCGCAAGTCACAATCTAACCATGAACTTTCGCTATTTTTTTCACTTTCTTGAGCCGGTAAAATTTGTATCTGAAGTGTAAGTATCTCTGAATTAAGGACAACTTGGTAATGGAAATGGGATGTTTAGTCAAGTGCCTGAAAAAGCTGGCAAAAAATTGCCCATGCTTTCAATTAATAACWCTTGGTGTCTTTATTTTTGTGTGTGTGTGCAGTCCATGAGTCTGATAGAGATCGGGAACCCCTCACAGAGTCTGGAGAATGTGTGTCGCTGGGCTTACTTGCAGCAGAAACCCGACACCGGGCACGCGGAGTATCACGACCATGCCATCTTCCTCACCAGGCAGGATTTTGGTCCTTCGGGCATGCAAGGTGTGTGTTGGGGGTTGTTTGGCATTTGCATTGATCACCGAGCCATGCAAAGTTTAATTGTGTATCTTTTGCTTTGCGGTGCTCAGTTCTTTCTTGCCCCGAGAGCTCTGAATTGGGCCATTTTCAATTGTAACTGCTTCACTTATTATTTTATCCTTTCTTACTGATTACTTATTGGGTCATTTCCGTGCTCTTACTGAAGCCAAGAAAATGGGATCCATGTGTTTTGGAAATGCCCAAAGATTAAAGAAGAGATTTTGTGTTTAGAAAGTTCCAAAGCTGTTGCCGTGTTAGAGCCGAACTGCCAAGAAATATTGTTATGGAGTGGTCTGGAACAGCAGGAACAAGCGCTGTCCACTTTCTCCTTTTTTTCAGACCTTTGCCTCCTGTGAAATCAGGTTTTTCACCAGAGGGGAGAAATCTCAGAGCTTTCCCATCCATTTTGAGGTGGCCAGAACTGGTGTCAGCACAGGGCTGGGGCTTTGCTCCTTGATTCTGGAACTGCCTTGGGCTCCTCCACAGAGCACCATGGGCTGTCCTTTGACTCTGCTGTCTTGTGCAATTGTTGGGCTGTCCAAGAGGTGCCAAGAATTTTCTTGGTGAGCCAGGCAGTTTTAATTTGTTCAACAGGTGTCTTCTGTTTCAKGGATGAAGGAGCTGTTAAATATTTGGGGGCTGAGGTCTTGAGAGGACCACTTCAGCTGCCTTTGTGTCACAGCCAAAGACAGATGCTTGCCCTAGAGCTCCCCACCACTCTACCTTTGCAGACCCGTTCATTTTGGAATTTTGGTGTTTTTCACAGGCTATGCTCCTGTCACTGGGATGTGTCATCCTGTCCGGAGCTGCACTCTCAACCATGAGGATGGATTTTCATCTGCGTTTGTGGTGGCTCATGAAACCGGACATGTGTGAGTGCAACTGGACATCTGGGCTGTRCCTTAAATGGTCTTTGGTTCAGACAAATGCTGATGGCATTGGACAGATGCAAYTGAGGTTAAGAAACAATATTCAGGRTTAGCTCTGGTTTCAGGTCTCAGCTCTCACAAASATTTCTTTATGATCTTAAGGAAGTTTTATATTTCCAGACTTTCAAATGGAAAAAACCCTAAAATCAAGGTATCTTCCAGGACTGCTGGGACTTTATTGAATGATGTATTGTAGTCTCCTGGTGGAAATGTATGCTCATAACAAAGAAAAATGAATTCATTGAGTCAGTGGAACACAATATTCTTGCAAGCAATCTATACTGAACAAGCACGTATACTGTATATGTTACTGCTGGTAAAGGAAACAATACTGTATAGAAGCGAGGTGCCAAGCACTKCAGTTACAAATGTTTTATAAATCCCATATAAAAAATGCAATCATTTTACTTACTGTCRTGGGTTGAACCAATGACTGGGCAGCAGTTGTCAGAGCTTTGGTTTTTCCCAGATCTTTTTAGTTTCCCTGTTTGCAGAGAACTCCCACTGATTTCCCATTTTTTCTTTGGTAGAACAACAATTTCCAGAAGGCTTTTTCTGAACAGTTTCAATCTATTCTGTTTTCCCTAAGAAAGCCTGCAGGCTTTTTCTCTCTTTTTAGCAAGAAAGTGCCAAAATTTATTGAAACCACCATAAACATATCTTAGTAAGACAGRGACATCTATTTGGTACCCAGGTAGTATTTGATTCCAGAATTTTTGAATTAGGATTTAAAAGAATACAGCATGAGCTTTAAAAAAGACACCACTAAAGAAAGTTTGTAATCCCTCAGATTTCATTCAACCCCARTCTGTTAATTTGGTTTAAATATGGACAGATATCACCCATATTAGTCCAATAGTRCTTATTAAAAATGCAGTGTAGGATCTTAACAAAGGAAAGGAGAAAACATATTCATAATAAAGCCAAAAAGAAATTTTAAAATATCTCTAATTTGGGATAGTTTTCTAGRAAGCACCCAGCACTTTCCAGGCTGTTTCACATTTGAACAATGTGGGATTGCTCCTGGGCAACAGCAGCAGCTTGTCTGAACTAGCTTTTTGTGTGGTGCCTTTCTTTTTTTCCATGCAAAGGACTTGTCTACCATTGCACAATGCTTTGAATTAGGCTGAGGTGTGATTTTTTTAGAAGTTATATAAATTCCTGAATAGCTCCAGATTAGAACAKGAGTACATTTCTATTAGTATTCCTGGAGGGTGGGCTGGCTCAGTAATTCAGAAATAGATTCACATTTAGCTGTAGTAATTCACAAATGTGCATGTGCACAGAAATCTAAAAAAAGGCATTTTTCATTTTTTTGAAAGTGGATTAGGTTAATGGCATGAAAGTCTCTCAAGGCTCAGTCCTTTCATGAGGACCAGCTCCAGACCAGCTCTTTAACTTCAGCCTTGCCCTGTTTTCTCATGACTTTGCTTTGCACCAGACCTGTGCTGGAGTTCCCTGACRAACTCTSTTGTTTATGACCTTGGTTTTGCTCCTTACAGAGAAAAAGCTTTCCCTTTGTTATGTGCAAGTTGTACAGAAAAATATGGGTTAATTACTATGATAACCAGAAAAAGCTGAAAATTATTTTGCTCATGGGGACAAGGGGTATGTGACTTCAGAACCTTGTTGGCATCAACCWCTGGTGGCACTGGGGAGGGGGAAGCACCGGGACATTCAGAGCCATCCCCAACATCACCYTTGTGTCTCTGTGGTGTGCGGGGCAGTTTAGGAATGGAGCACGACGGCCAAGGGAACCGCTGTGGGGACGAGGTCCGCCTGGGCAGCATCATGGCCCCGCTGGTGCAGGCCGCCTTCCACCGCTTCCACTGGTCCCGCTGCAGCCAGCAGGAGCTGAACCGCTACCTCCAGTGAGTACAGCCTCCCYCTTGGAGTAGAAATGTGTGACAACAGCTCTGCATCTAGCATTTAGTGTGATGGCAGCTCCTTTGAAATGATTCTCATTTCATTTACGTCCGTTCATTTTCTGTCCTCTCAGAGGTGGTTGAAGGCACTGTTATGGATCTCATTTCTCACTTTCCTCCCTCCCAACTCTAACCTCCAGCTGGAGGAGTGCTTTGGCCACCCAGCAGCGTGGTGTCTGTCCTGCAGATGCCACACTTGGCTTCAAGGGCTGTTTGTTGTTTATAATACCTGTCAGTGATAAGATGGTGCTGCCTAGAAAGGATAATCTGTCCTTTAAGTGCTCAGGGCTTTTCTTGACTTKAGTAGATATCTAAAGAGAGAACATGGTTCTAGAATTCATTCTTCAGTTGCTAATTTTCCTTTAAGTACCCTAAAWGCAAAAGCTGTTTAAACAGCTTCATCCTGTCCCTTGCCTTCCTTTTGGACCTGGCACTTCAGGCATTGGACCTGTGCWGGAGTTCCATGACAAACTCTGTTGTTTATGACCTTGGTTTTGCTCCTKACAGAGAAAAAACTTCACCTTGTTKTTATGTGCAAGTTATACGGAAAAATATGTGGTAACTACTATGATAACYAGAAAAAGCTGAAAATKAGTAGGAAAAAATGCAGYAAAATACATGAAGTAAACATGACTCAGTATGTCAGTATTTTTATTATCATGGATATCTTAGGTGTGGCAATAAGGAATAAAAATATTGTGAAGGAAGTGTGATTGTTTCAATTAGYGAGATCCTCTAGAGCTTTAGCCATTAAATAAAAATCATCTGGCCTAGAGGGCTGCTTTACATTCTTTGAAATACAACTATTTTTAAAATGTCTTATAACAAAGCACAACTACRGKTTGCTTTGAAGTAACTCTAACCTCAAAATTCTGCTTTCAGCTATTGGTATCTTCAAGGCAACCTTAATGATTGCCAGGATAGGCTCGTGTATGGTGTCCTCATGTCTGTTAAATAACTGGGAGACATTTCAGAGATCCTGTGGGCTGTGCTGGTGTTGTGAATTAACCAACACTTACACTGTGTTAACTGTTTGGTGGTACTGGCAGCAGTCCTTTGTCTTGGTGTGACTTGATCAGRTGTAATTCTACTGCAAGAATTGTCCTCACTCCTTAGTGGAAGTTTCTCCACTCTCATCACAGAGAAAAGAAACTTAGTTTAAACCGTGGATGGGGTTGGGAGCTATCAGGAAAAGCAGAGGGAACAAACCCGTGCGGTTAAAGCAGGCAGCAAAGGGCAGCTCTGTAAGTCTGTAAATGAGTCACTGATTCTCAGGGAGGACACAGGGAAACTCTACGTTCAGTGATATTCTGGGCTGGTTACCCTGGCCTCTGCTTTTGAAACCTCACTTGAAAGACAGCTGCAGGCAGCAAGAAATTCCACAAATGGAAAATTAATTAAACCTGCTTTTCTTCTTGGTCTCATGTGGATTCTTCCTTTGATTCCTTTCACATAAGGAGCCTGCAGACTGATAGGAATTTACCTGCAAGCTAAATGGAAATTACATTGGAAGGGCTTCATAAAAAGACATGTAGGATCCACTGAAGGTGGATACGACATGCTAAAGTGAATATGAGTGTAATTGCAATATTAGCTGCTCTCAGGACCAACATCTGAGAAATTATAGGCTCTATTTTGTTTGGAACAAAAAGGCAAAGAAACCACAAACACTGTGCAAGCCTCTCCCAGCCCCATCTGTTCCTGTAATTTTTCCTGTTGCAGCTCCTACGATTGTCTGCGGGATGATCCCTTCGAACACGACTGGCCTTCCCTTCCACAGCTGCCAGGGATTCACTACTCCATGAATGAGCAGTGCCGSTTTGACTTTGGCCTGGGATACATGATGTGCACAGCTGTGAGTACTTAACTGGAACTTCTGCTATTTCTCATCCAGGAGTGGTCTAAGCATCTCTGAAATCTCCTAAAGAGGGAATAGTGAAGCCCACAAGGAAAGGTGTTGTGCCCACTGAGCTGTAAGAAAAGTTTACCAACTGAATACTGACATATATATCATTGAAAATGTCTCTTGGTTTGGTTTCTGTTTAAACTGGAGTTACAGAAGCAATTCTTGTGCGGTTTCATGAGTACCTGTAGTTTTCAAGCAAACAAACTCGCTGTGATATTGAGCCTCCTCTCACTGGCAGCTGGTTATTTTGCTACAGAACTGCCACCCAGATGTGAGGGAGATGGATTTGCTGCCACATCTCATAGCGCTAGCACAGGGCAGCATGCTTTTATGATCCAATTTTATGGAAAGTGTGATGCATTTTCATACCTAGCAAGAGAAAATAGGTGTGACAGCARCTAAAGCGACTTGCAAGGGCCCTTGATGGCATGGTTGGCTCTCGTGTATGAGGGAAACAAGAGGCAAAGGCTAAATTGAAAGCAAGGCAAKATTATTGCTATTCTCAGTGGAATGGCTTCAGAAAATAGAGTCTTCTGCAGCAGGGCTGTGCCTCCCACCTCCAGCTCCTCAAGCAGAACAAAATATTAAATGGAAAGAGATGTTTCCAGCTGGTGGCAGCTGCTGACACATAACATTTGTGCTTTCATTCCCATCTGCAGGAATATATGCTCCGAGCAGTGTCCCTAGATAATGGATGAGAACCTTTAGAGCATGATCTGTAGTGCTGTGTCTTGACACAATTCCCACTGATGCTGCCTTGGAAGAATGTCCCAGCCAAAGAGAATCTTTTCTTACAGCCATTCTCCAGAGCCTGGGAGATAGAGGCTTTCTATTGTTCTTTGTTCAGAATAGCCAAAAGCATGTTTAGACATCATGTTTTAATATGTTTTGGGGTGGGTGGTTCCCATCCTGTCCTATAGAAGCCTTTGCATTTTAGGTAAAATGCTGATTTATTCATTGGATTCATCACTGATTTGAGATCACCTGATCTCTAATTTCCATCCCCCTAAGAAGGGGATTACAACAGCTGAGCTACAGTCTGAGCAGCTCATTTTCATCCCCCATGGGTGCACAAGGATTTTTKGTTTTGTTTGCCCAATGAAGCAGCYCCATTTGGAGAAGCTGTAAGAAAAGGCAGTGTGTCTCCCTGCCTGGGGAAACTGGGTGGTCACTTGTGTTAAACTATTTCTGCCTGACTTTATTCCATCACATGTGGTTGGAATCTCACCTCAGAGTCATGATTCTGTATGAAAACTCATATTCAAAATATTCAATCCACAGACATCATGGAATCAGCATTAACAGCTGGGATTTTACACCTAGGAAAGGAACCCCTCCATCTGCAGCTTCCAGTGCAGTTTCCAGTGGGAGCTCTCTCAAAGCATCACCCATTCTGATTTTTCCTGTGTTCCAGTTTCGTACATTTGACCCCTGCAAGCAACTGTGGTGCAGCCACCCCGAGAACCCCTATTTCTGCAAAACAAAGAAAGGGCCTCCGCTGGACGGGACCATGTGTGCACCAGGAAAGGTGAGAATGGTGCCCTGTGTGCCCACCTGCACACGTGTGTTCATGTGTGTTTGTGTGCAGTCGGGGGTGTTCCCCTCAAAATCAGGAGGAACAAAAAACCTGAGGTTTGCTCAGGGGCAAACTCCTGAGTGCAAGTGGAGTGCTGAGCATGGGCTCAGTGGGTTAGAGCTTGGTGCCAATAATACACGGGTTTGATCCCTGTAGGGGCCATTCACTCAAGGRTTGGACTCGATGATCCTGGTGGGTCCCATCCAACTMAGAATATTCTGTAATKCTGAGCAGCCTGAGGGGAGCACACAGGGACAAGGGCTGGCGTGTCCTGCATGGCCACTCTGGGACCTTAAACCCCGTCCTCGGCAGGTCATGGCAGTATCTGCAGATTGCTCTGTGCAAGTCTCTGCAGCAAAGCCAAAAATGAGGAAATTTCCGCTCTCCTAAACTGTTTTGAGGTCAGGGTGTTGTGCTTGTATCAGCAATGTTGCCGTGGTGCTGAGGAGCACTGGGGGCTGGACATTCCGCCAAGCCACAGCCCCTGGAGCTTTTCAGGGAAAGGATGGACGTGGGAGTGGAGTGCCAGCTCGAGAGAACCAATGTGACAGCACAGAGGGACTGTGAGGAGAGCAGGGCAGCTCTGCGGAGGTGGATTTGCTGGGTTGATGAGGGCCAAGGGAGGCAYGAGGAGCTGGGGAGGGTCAATGTGAGGTGGGAAAGGCTCGGAGAGCTGCGGCCGTTCCACCACCAGGATGGAGCTGCTCCAGCCCTCTGTGGAGGTCACTCTGCTCAGAACTGTGGGTCTGAACTCCAAATCCTTTGAAGTCTGCTGAAAAAAAMCTGGCTTGCCTGGGTTTTGGATGCAGTGACTGAGGGGGAGAGGAAGATGTCGCTGCTTGGAAAGGTTTTTTAATAACCCAATGGATGACATCATTTATGCGATAAATGAACCGTATTAGCAGCTGCTGTTATGGTTTGAAAAGTCTTTTTTATGAAAACATTATATTAAATTAATTCCCCAGCAAGTCACRCTCTATATAAACCACTCCCTTCTGGTTTTCTCTTCTTCAAATTATTCCAATTATAACAGATTTGCTCCTTATTTAAAAAAAAAAAAAAGAAAAAATTAGATTGCAATCCAAAATCTTAGACAATTTATTTGGATACACTATTCTTTACCTTGGTTTTTACATTAAAAATATTCATGACCCCCAACTGAAAAATACARTTATATTCCATTTTGTTGCATCACCCTCTTTGCTGAGCTATTCATTCATATTAGTATTTGAACAGAAATGAGGAGAAAAAWGGAATTTGTAACCCTACAGTTAAGGATCTGTCAGTGCTTCCATTATAAACAGTTTGTCAGGATATTATGCAACTCAGCTGTAAAAATTTTCTTTGGACTGGAACTTGGGATCCAAGGCTTCAGCAAGCTGTGCAGACAGCCAGGCTTTTGAGCTCAGCAGAGATGCAAGAGAGTATGTGCACATTCTGAAGTTTCAGTAGATGATAGGACTCTGACTGTTTTATTCTCAAGGGAGCTGTCCCAGTTTTTTGATAAATAAACTTGCTGCCACCTTCCAGAAGAACCCGAGAAAATGTTGTAAAATGAAAACCATTTTATTAGATAAAGCTCAGCAGTCTGAACTAAACGTTTTGGGTTTTTTTTAAATAGTGTGAGTTATGAAGGTTATATAGCTGAYTTTGTGTATCTGAGCTCAGCATTTGACCAGTGTATTTCTTAGATGTTGGTGTTTTTAATAGAGGTACATCAGATCAATGCTTTTACATCTGTTCCTTTCCTTTTCATCCCTGCCCTTGATTTTGCCTTTCCCTGTTCACTCACTTCACCAATTGGGACAATTCCAGGGGCTCTTGCTTGAATGCACAGGGCTGTAAAATGCATTTATTGCCCAAARCTGGGACTCAGTTGCTGTGGGGCAGCTTCCTCTCAGGTACCTATCCCATTATGCCTCATCAGCACTTGAGGAAGAGGAAAATAATTTCAAACTTGAGCCACTATTTTCTTTGGAATCACGCCAGAAAAGAAAAGTACAGAAACATAAGCAATTAAAGATGTTGATTGAGAAAGATTCATTTGTTTCCCACTTTAGAGAGCTGCAGTTTTCATGATTTCATACCACTAATTCCCAAGGCCTATTTTAAGCTCAAAGCACTCACAATACTGCTGATGTGTCACAGAAACATCCTGGCTTTGCTGCAGCTGAGGGGACCCGGTGCCAGAAATGAAAGTGGTGTCGGGGAGGCGAGCGCGGYGTGTGCTGCGTGGATGTTCTCACCTAGGGCTGGTGTTCACATAACTGATAGCTGATCCCAAATTTAGCAGATGCCACCGAGGAGAACCCAGCCCAGCTGCCTCCTTCCTAACTGATGGTCAAGGGGCAAGAGCAGCCATCTGGCAGACACGAAATCTGGAGCATATTTTTGGCAGRCAGGCTGATAAGGGCCATGCCTCTGCACTCCCAGGCTGTGTCCCGGACCTGGRCACTGACCCTTCAAAAGGGAGAATTGAGCTTTCTAATGCTCTGTATGTGTGTGTATGTAGACAGATAAATGTGTATTTATGTAAATGTATATAAGTTCTTCTGTGWGTGTGGCTATTTGAGATAAGTTGCCAAAAAAGTGAGGTTCTGCCGTTTCAAAAACTTCTTAATAAGTCTTCTTGTTGCAAACAGAGATACTGAGCGACCATTATGTTAAATGGCAACAAAATAATAATTTGCTGGGTTTAAARTTAAAGAAATAACATATTCTCTTGGAGCTTCCCAGACAGAAARCTACTATTTTGACAAAATCCTAAAGGAAATAGAATAATTTATAGTGCTCCCAGCTTGTTTTTTTTAAAATCCAGATTGAATTTTCAATAGCAAGAGGAAGGATTCCATCAATTTTGTGGAGCTTTGATAATGCAACCACTCGCAGTGGTCACATTAACTCCACGAAATAACTCCAGTGTGTAAAGTTAAGCACATGGAGGTTCAGAGTTTTACTGTGGAGTCAAAAACACTCCATAAATTGCTGCAGTAAACCACGCAGACAAGACATAACTGTGCAAAGCTTAACTCTGCCCAGCATTCTGTGGATTGAAAGGAAACATATGCTGTGAGCTGATAATTTATTTACTTGTATACAATTCTGCCAGCTCTACCATTAGCCTCAGGCTTCTGGATCCRGGCAAACTGCAGGAATATATCATCAGTTTTTGTTATTCCATTTTTAAAAAATATTACTCTTCTGGGGAGGCATTTATGTCRGCTGAGGTAGCTAACTGCTCTCCACAGGGTAGAAATAAACCCCGGAGTCAGTCATGCAGGGAGATCACATGCTCGAGTCCATCTGCTTCCTGCAGTGACTAACATCAAGGTTTGCACCACCTGGGCCTCCTTTTTTTCTTTTCTTGGAGAGAGGTAAGAGCCTGGTAGCTGCCCCTGCCAACCAAGCTGATGTTGCTTTTGGATTTGGYTTCTGTGCCAAGGATCCAGCACAAACCTAGCAGGTCTTCTCTTTGCTTCCACTGTGCTAATGAGATGATCTGAGTCAAACTTGGAATGGTTTTTCACTCTGTCAGGAAAGGAAGGGAATGATTAAATATTGAAATAAATAGATATTTTTGAGAAGAAAAATGGACCRAGAAGAAAGGTTTCTGAAAACATTAATGTGTACTCAAAGCAATCCAGATAATTTCCCACTGAGAAAGCTGACCTCAGCTTCTCYCGGAGACAGGAGACAGATGGGTGAGTGTGTGCCGTGTTAGTCACCACAGAAACAGGGAGAAKGCTTGATTCTCCACTGAAGAAACTTTTACTGGCTCCGAGTAGCCTTTAGTGGTGGAACTTTCAGTTCATCCGTTGCAACTAATTATTCTCAGACAGATGGAGCAGAGCGGGTCAGCCTGCGTGTGATGAAGAATACAAATAAATAAATAAATACAAATAAATAAATAAATATCCTGGTGGGATAGCAGGAGAGTGAGGGGAGCTGAGGACCCCCAGCCATGATGCAGTGTGAGGGGTTACCTGGGGTTTCAAGTGAGATCAGAGAGATGCCCRTTTCTACCCAATATAAAATACAGATACCCACAGAGGATCTTCAAGTCTTTTCTTGGAAAATTGACTTGCAGATGTGTGAAGCCCACAGGAACACACTGGCTCTTTTTTTGGCATCCACAGCAGTTGTTTCAAAGAACTGCTGAAAACAGCAGTGGAATGTTTTACTGCAAGAAATTTAAGCTGCTTCTCCTGGAAATTGCACTTGTTTTGGACTGTCCTGTTTGCCAAAAAAATAGGCGAGACTGCAAGAACTCATCTTGTCTTCGACTAAGAAAACAATTTGCATTTACCCATTTTTTCTCATTTTAAAAAAACTGGATTAATATGCTTCATTCTTTAAGTGAAATCCCCTGTTTATGAAGGGAATAGTGCTTGAAATTGGCTCTTTTCCACCTCATTATGTAGTTAATGTAGTATCAATAGGAAGAGTTGGCTTTAACTTCTTTTATTACACTGGAGATTGCTCCATCTCTGGTTTTACCTTCTCATGCATTTTCTTGCATGGGTCTGCACACACTAAGATTCGTTAGTGAATCATTTTGTTTTCTGTAGGCTCCTTTCTTTTAATGCACAAAAAAAGGCAGAGCTGTGCATGACTCATTTTGCACAAATGCTTTTCTCCTAATAGCTCTGCCTCAGCTTCCCAACAATCAGCATCTGACCAGCTTCTCCACTAGAAATCAGTGCTGCTCTTTCCTTTACACAGCAAAGTCAATAACACTTTCCCATGTTTGCCTTCCAGTTCAGGGAGCAGTCTTAATGTYAGAGAGGGGGTTTAGTTTTTTGTTGCAAACCTTCATCCCACTATTCCTGACTAAAACAGGGAAAAGAGATTGGGAAACACAATGTCATCACATCTCCCCCTCTCCTTCGTGAGCCCAGGCACTGGATGCAGGATCATCAGATAATGAACACAGACTAAATATCTCCTGAAATGGATTTGGTGACTGCTGTGGAACTCACACCTGAGAGATGCAGTGCCCTGATAAGAGGATGTGTGAGCAAGCACAGATCAGGGGCTGTCACTTCACATCTGCCTCCGAGCCCAGCTGAAATTTCTATTGACAAGATGAAACATTGCCAGCTTCCCCCACATCTCTGAAAGGTCCCCTGGCTGTGYAGGGCCCCACAACTCAAACTGTTCAAACAAACCTCTCTAAAGCCATAAGTAAATAGTCCCTGAAGGGTGCAGTCCTGAGCTTCATGACYAAAAAAAGCAAAGGACATATTAGCATTTTGCATTTCTTTCGTGCTTTGCTCAATTATCTCTTGTTCTGTCAAACATCTAAGAAAAATCTGCCCATTACGACTCTGGAGCAGGATTGGTATAATTGGCTTTGTGGTRTCTCATCTATTTCATAGGTTTTGACTTCGAATATCTGAAGTCATGGGAAAGAAAAAAAACAGTTGAAACCTAATTTCTACTCTCTCTTTTACTCCTTGTCCAACCAAATCAGCACCAAAATAAATTGCATAAATAAAGAGCCAGGCACTGAGCGGATTMGCGAATCAGTAAGCTGTGCAATGTCACCATTTTACTAATGATTCTCTCTTTAAATTCAGCATTATTAATGATTATCCATCACTTTTAAATTTGCCTTCCAGATCACTAATCGCTCTATGCTCAAGAACGCTCTGCTGTTATATATCTTCTGATTTTGTTTTTGCTGGCAGCATCCATTTAGCCATATGCTTGTCTTGTGCAGCCTGCCAAATTCCTGCGTTCCAGGGCTTGTTAAGCTGTGTAAAATGTTGTTGTTGACTCGAATGTTAAGGAAAGTAAGTGACTGATTTCACTTGTTGTTGCAGCCATCTGTGCTCCCGAGCCAGAGCTCTCATCCCGGCAGTAACCGTTAACGCAGACAAACGGTGACAGTCTCATGCAAAGTCGTTTGTTTGCTGGAATGTGTTTTCCAGCACCCACACTTCATCAGTAGACTTTTATGAAAGCAGAAATAGCATTAGAAGGGGCCAGAATCTTGTGATCCTTGARAATAATTTTTTCTGACTTCAGCTGAGAAAAGATTCCTTGATTAGGGGCTGGAGAAATTGGTGGAAAGGCATTGACAGGTTTCTTTAATGGGAGATGACAGTAGAGATGAGCAGTACTGGAGCTATGAAGGCTCTTAAAGAAATAAAATAAATACCTTAATGGTTTGAGGAATGTTGTAAATTCTGTGTTTCAACTGCTGTAGAATGTATTAAAAACCAGTTAAAAGGAAGGAGAAAGTGTGGTAGGATGTGATGAGCTGCGCAGCTGTCGGACTGTTCAGGGCTGCTCCCTAAGGAATAGCTCCTGGTGTTTTGGTCAGGTTTACCATGAGATCTCCAGGGAGACACTGCAAAAGTTTTTATTTAATAGCATTARTGTCTACAATGTGAGCTTGCTTTTATTTCACGACACTTTGCTGATCCCATTTATTGTAGGAATATGTGTGTGGATTTGGGAGCGGCTGGGCAGGACACTGCCGTGGCCAGAGCTCCTGAAGAGACTGCAGGCAGCAGTGGGGGCAGGATGTTTGCTGTTAGCCTCCAAGATTTGGGATTCTGCCATTTCTCCCAAATGAAATCCCTGCTGCAGAGAGGTGATGGGGCACCACTGAGAGCAGTTTGACAAACTTGGTAGGCTTGAAACCTGCACGCACACGTCTGCATACTGAACATGTGAGTTTATAAAATCTGAGTGAGTTTGGGATCATGGGCACAATCAGACAGTGAGCCCCTTTACTTTCTGCTGGTGAGGTGAAAAAAAATCCAGAACTTGTGTCTAAAATGATGATGTTAATAATGATAAAAGCTGATACAACAGCTTCTCATGTGATGTAAGTTAATCATCTAATCATTCTGACATCTTCTCTCTTCCAGCACTGCTTTAAAGGTCACTGCATCTGGCTCACTCCAGACATCCTGAAGCAGGACGGGCACTGGGGGGCATGGAGCAAGTTTGGCTCYTGCTCCCGCACGTGTGGCACCGGGGTGAAGTACAGGACCCGGCAGTGTGACAACCCCCAGTAAGTGACACCCCACTGCTGTCCAGGGCTGCCCTGGGAGGGTCCTCGGTGCAGCAGTGCAGTAAAGGATGTTGAGTGGTGCTTGTTAAATCTGACTTATAGTATAAGTTGTCAGAAATTCTACTTTTGGCCCTTAGCAAGTTGTGATTCATCTTTTATTTCTCAGTTTATCCATCCATTAAATTGGTTATGCAGCTACAAGGATCTTGAAAGTGCTCATACACTGCTGTGTAAAGCATAAGTAGAAATTTAGGGCCCTATAGATCTCATTTTAAAATGTAAGTATGAAATAATAGCAGTGATTTACTGGATCTTTTTTTAAGTATTTTTTTTTAAACCACCTTTTAGGATATTTCAACAAAGAGGTCTTAAAATCTTTTCAAACTGTTTTCATTCCAAGYTGGAACAAAGCTCCTGAGATCAGAACCTTCCCCAAAATTAATTTCAGGAATTTTGAATTGTCTTGCTTTAATAACTTTCATATGGGTCATCTAGATAACATAGAATGATTCCGCTTCAGTAACAGTAGAATTGAAGTACAGTTAGTATAGATTGGTATATACAAGTGATATGAAATGTGTAATTATTGCTATCTTARTGTGGTATCTTAAAATGTCAAGATCCTAACAGCAAGAACTAAAACAAGTGTTAGAATTAAATTATTTTAACAGAAWGAATATTTTTATTGTTGAATTTCTGGGTTTGTTGATAAAGCAATTGAACTTGACTGGTGTTAAAAATGATTTTATAATTGATTTTTTTTTAAAAAAGTCTAATTTTACAGAGGAGCATTTTCTGATGGAAATTGTTCTGTTAAGAAAACATTTGCCAGTTCTCTTTTCAGCCTTTATTACTTTGGCAACAGGGAAGTGACCTTTATAATTGTGGGCACAGCTTTAGCTGTAAAATCTATTTACATGTAGGAAAAGCCTCGTGTACTATTGAAAATGTTTTGTGTGTTTCCTGGAAGAGGGTGCAAACCCAGCTGCAGGTCCTGAGCTCTGCATTGCCAGATCTGCCAGGGATTTAGTGCACATCTGCCTGGGGGCACAGCCCTGAGCTGGGCTGTTCTGGTTCTGGGGCTGCATTAGGGGTGAATGTGAATAAGTTGCCTCTTCTGCTTTCCTGGCTACACCAAGAAAATGGCTTTTCTTGCCTTTACCCAGTGGTTTTCAACTTCTACTTGTAGAAGTCACCTTTTAGGAGATAAATAGTGACAGCGGGTTTTGAAAGGAAATATGTATTTTCCATATCAGAAATACAGCCCTGGCTTCATCAAATGCCTGCTGGCATGAGTGGGAAATAAATTGCTGCTCAAAAGATTTGATGTACACTTCATGAATGAGCTAATGGCAAAACTAACCGTGGGCTTGTCTCCCTGTCTCAGTCCTGCCAACGGAGGCCGCACGTGCGTGGGGCCGAGCTATGAGTTCCAGCTCTGCAACACYCAGGACTGCCCCAAGGACTTGGAGGATTTCAGAGAGGAGCAGTGCCGSCAGTGGGACCCTTACTTTGAGTACCAGAACACGAAACATCACTGGCTCCCCTACGAACATGTCGATGGTGAGCAGCCCCTTTCCTGTGAAAACTAAAATCGRTTGCAAATACAAGTAAAAATTACATAGAGAGAGGCAAATGTTCTTCCCAGGAAATCATGCCTCCTAAACCAGTCAGGAGTTGTTTGGAGGGATCAGTGAGTATCAGTGTATGAATGATTTGCTCATACAATGTACTTGGATTTTCAAAAAACACCGATGACAGGTGTTAAATTGAGTTTCCCTGGGATAAAAGGGAATGGTTTTGCACCAGTGGGAGCATGGCCCACTCTGAGAGCTGCAGAAGGACCTGTGACACTAAGTGACAGAAGATGGCAAAGGAACTTTGGTGTTCATGAATGCCAGYAATGGACATGGGGAAAAAACTGCTGTGTATGAGTGTATGGATCTGTACACACAGTGAGCTCTGAAGAGGAAGGCTGGGAGCTGGATTTTAGGAAAAATCAGCTCAGTGACTGAAGGGAGAGATGGAGAGCATTGATCTGTCTCTGTGTGCCTGCATGTTGTGTCTGCATTTTAAATACTCAGCTCATGCAGCTCAGGTTGTGCCCATCTCACTGCTGTCCATGCTGTTAAAAAACCCACAGACAAACTYAGAAAGGCCAGAGGGAAGCAAACACAAACAGTGACTTCTGGATGAGGAGAGTTTGGATAAACCAGGGCTTTCCACCCTGGAAAAGCAGGGATGTGGATTAAGAAGATAGAGTTACAGAATTGTGAGTGGCCCAGAGAGACCAAACATGGAATGATTATTCAGCTTCTCATAACACAAGCCAGGGAACATCAAATAAAATTATCAGGTGGCAGATTTAAAACAAATAAGAGGAAGGACTTAGTACAAAGCATCTGATTATCCTGAAATTCACTCTCACAGGAAGCTGCAGATGCCAGAATGTTTTCAAAATTCCTTAGAAAAATTCCTGACAGTTCTACAGTCCATTAAGAGCTATTAAACACCAAGTTCCAGCCATGATTTTGGAAGTCCCCGAACTGCAATGTATGAGGAACTCAGAGAATATTCTGAGAAACATTTTCCAGTTTGTTCCTGCATCTCCTTGCGAATGCTGCTGGCGCTGTTGGAGGCAGGTGTTGGGTTGGGTGCTGCTGGCTCAGGTCAGGCAGATGTCGTGGCCTCTTGGCAGAGATCACCTCCTGCAACAAAAATGTTCCTGTTAATGCCTCGGCTCAGTTCTCAATGTGAGTGCAGCTGGTTGATTTGGGCYGTGTCTGCTCTTGCCAGCAAACACAGAGATGTTGTACCAAACAAAAAGGCACMGGGCAAGGAGTCTCAGCTTKTTGAGTGAGCAGTGTGGGCTGCTCWCTGTTTTTAAACCCTGTCACTTCACTTGAATGACAAAGTCTGGAGGGCAGGGGTGGCCTGGCAAGGGGCAGGTTCTGGGCACCCACCCTGTCCTCAGCCCAGCTYCCATTGCTGGGAGGGGAAGGGTCACTTTGGGTGAATCATTTTGCATTCCAGTGAGAGAATACTCTGCCAGACATTAATAGCAAATTCCTTATAATTAATTTGCCTGACTTTCTTCCCRAAGAGTTCTCAGAGTTCCCTCATTCTTTTCATGCCATCTTGGTCAGTCTGGGATTTTCAGAGGCAGACACAGCTTAATTTCATGAAATAGCTTTGCTGGCACAGAATAAAGGGATGAAGGCTGTGGCCTGCAGGACCTTCGCTTATGATTTAGCCTTTGGAGCAGTCTGCTGCAAAGACCACTGAAACAAAGCAAATTTTTTTCTATTAGATTCAATGGCTGCTGGGTCAGAAACCAGCTCATTGATGTCTGAGCACCGATCCCTGGGCTCTGCTGGTTTCCCATATAACTGTGGTATAACTGCAGACACCTTGAGAGTTACATTTACCTGTGCAGGGTTATTAGAGGGAACAGCTTTTGTGTGAAAACAAGGCCAGAGACAAGCATATACTTGAACTCTAATCTATTTTAAAACTCCCTTTTGTAAGGASAAGGCATATCAGAGACATACTTGTGCAGATAATGCAGCTGTGGCTCAGAAGTGACAYAAATCCATACACTTCACACACAGCTCAGCTGGACGTGTCTGACACATTGTGCAGGGCATGGGAACAGAGTGAGGTGCCTCATGCTGTGGGCAGAGAAAAGCCACTGAGCTGGGCTGGAGCCCAGTGTGTCCTTGAGCATCCTTTTGTGCCCTGGCCTTCTCCTGCTCTGAGCACTCTGAGACCCCTGTGCCCTCACCCCACCCTGCTCCTGCACTGCACATCTGCAGGGCACTGGGGAGGGACTCTGGCCATGAGCTGCCAGTTCAGTGAGATGAGAAGGGCTCACAGTGGGCAGACAGCAGGCACACCATCACACCCATGCTCCTGCACCTCTACCGTGCCCAGTACCACTGAAAAGGAAGAAAACAACTCTTTGCAATAACAGGGTCTAACTTAACATCACTTGCACAGTTACTGTTCCCATGGAGGATTGGGAACAGAACCATCTCTGAAATAAWGCCCTTGTGCAGGGTTGTTGGCACCCAGTGAGACCTGCTGAYATTTTCATTTAATCACACACAAGCGTGGTATGTGTGGGTGCCCACCCCAGGGATGGTGTGTGCACATTCATCTTGYGCACAGCTCAATGTTTCTAAAATACACAAATACAACAGGTCTGTCATTATCATGATCTTAATAGTCTCCCATTAAGAATTTGCACCAAAAAAWTACCTGTTTTAGTAGACCAGACCCTGGATTTTTAGCATGACTTCTCTGCATCATTTGGGAGCTGTAACAAAGGTCTCTGATGCACAAACACCCAGTGGCCTTGAGGACATTGACAGCAATAACAGGGACTTTCTAAAAAGAGGGCAGAGGCCGTGGAACTGTAGAGGGGAAGAGTGCAAAGAGCCTGTGAGGATTTATTTCAGCTGAACTGCTATAATGGAARGGTCGTTATTGTTTTAAATGGTGGGAAAAGTGTTCCAACTTTTAATCATGTTAAAATAGCAGGATCTCCATTTGTTTCATCTAGCAGAAAGTCCATGTGCTCTTCAGTGCCAAGGAAAGCACAGTGAATGCTATTATGGGGCTGAGAACAGCAAGAGACATGGATAAAATGAAATATACCAGTAGACTACAACTTTATTCAGCCACTGACTAGGCATTTTCAGCTTTATTTTTTGTTCTTAGCTCTTTGGAACAGATTAGAGAAAATACCACTYGTCTGGCTGTTTGTGCATGTGTTAGCAGTAAAAAATTGTTTTTTGTCTAAATCTTTTTGACATCTCATCTTGTTTAATGGTTTAAATTATCATAAATAGAAGTACAACCGTGAGGGAAAATTAACTTTGTGGTTAGGATGAAATGCTATGGCCCAGCTGTCTCTGAAGAAATTTCTGATGCCAGGTTCACTCAGTGTCAAACAGCTGCTTTTAATGGCAAAGTTACTTTGGCATTTTTTTTTCAGATTTAAGTGCAGGAGAAACCTGCAYCTCTCACAGGTGGCTGTGCAGCAAACTGAGGAAAGCTCTGCCAGATTGCATCATCTGCGAAGGATTAAATAGATTTCCCCCATCAAATCAATGATCTGTTAKTTCTAAGTCTGTCTCCTAATGGTGRCACATGGATGCTTTATGACTCAGCAGTTTCCAGGRGATCACAGAATTTCTGAAAGGGGATAAGCATCAATGATTTATGGGTACCACGTTGGGCTCTGTGATGTGTGCGAGGAAGAAGGGAGAGCCAACGCTGCTGAAAGCGCTGCTCACATCATCAGAGATCAAACTGGGAGAGCTGAACACGCTCCATTCRGGGCATTTTTATTTTTCAGCTAAGGAGAGGTGCCACCTGTACTGYGAATCGAAGGAGACAGGGGATGTGGTGTACATGAAAAGGATGGTGCACGACGGGACCCGCTGCTCCTACAAGGACGCGTACAGCGTCTGCGTGCGGGGGGACTGCCTGGTAAGAGGCTGGGGGCTTGCCCAGAGCTCCCTGCTCTGAAAACAAAATTGTACCTTGAATGTTTCTCTCTGAGAGTGACTAAGTATGCTAACACTTTGGGCAATGAGGAGATTTCATTAGGATCTTTGTCACAATATTATGTGTGATTATTCACAGTTGCCATGCGTGTGACTCGACTCCAAAAGCGCCTACCTACACAAGCAATATTTCATGCAGTATTTTAAGATGAGCTATTACAATTAGCTTTCAAGGAAAGCTTTCCCTGCTGAGGTTTAGTGGGGGTGGAATGTACAATGAAACAGGAAAGCACAGCAGCTTTCAAGGAAAGTGGTGTTAGGATACGGCTGATGTGCATTCKCYCTGGGYTTGATCATGCTATTTTTAATAAATCAATGACAGTTTGTCTAAGTTGGGATCTGCTGCAGATCGTCTTTCAAAGGAATTAGTCTCTGACTAGCAAAGCACTGGTGGAGGTGCTTATCCCCATATAGATGCCCAGATTCTCCTGGAATTTAAACATCTGCCTTCAGATAAGCTGAGGCTTAAGAGCTTTTCCTTAACCATGCTGCTTTCCTTCAGTCAGAGAACCACTGTGAAGCATAATATAAAAATATAATCACCCAACTGACAGCTGCTATAGGAACTGGAAGTATGAAAATCTGTTTAGGTGCTGATCTCCCAGGAGAATACTACGAGATGTGTGACTTTGCTGAGGCAGAATCTGGGGTTTGATATGTGATTTGAAGGGTGGATAAATAACAATGGTTTTCTCTTTTGTGCACAGAAAGTCGGGTGTGACAGGGTCATAGGTTCCACGAAGCAGGAAGATAAGTGTGGTGTCTGTGGAGGAGATAATTCCCACTGCAAGGTGGTGAAAAGAACATTTTCAAGAGTACCAAAGAAGCAAGGTCAGTACATTCAGTGTGGTTTGTCCTGGGGAATTCAGGGTATTTTTTCTTAATCTCTTCTGTTTCATGGAAAGTACCAGGACAATTACAAATAATTTACAGCATCATGAATTCCAATAAACAATCTAGTCTTACTTCCAGATGTGCTTATAATTTGAAAATAAGATTTCTGTCCAGTGACCAGTAAAAGCTGCTGATACCAGGCCCTGTGCATGTGCAGAAGGATTTCCCTGCTCCTTGTTGGAGAGCTGTGGACTGTCCATGTCACTGCTGCARTAATATGTCATCATCAGGCTCTGTTGGGCAGGACTGTGTGGTCTCTGTGGCTGCATGTGGCACTCAAAACCCATTTTAGTGTGAAACAAAATCTGTTGATGATTCTTAAGGCATCTTTCTTCTGACCCAAAGCCATTTGTCCCTGTTATGTTCCATCGCCTGGCACAGAAATGGGGATGGGAATAGTTTTGGATTTGGTTCATCTTGTTTAATACACCCTGCTTTCAGAAAATAAGATTTATTTAAAAACCCAAGAGAGACCCTCCCTGTTTGTGGCATATTAATCCATAACTATATTTTCAAATATTACAATATAGGGTATGTTAAGATGTTTGAAATTCCTGCTGGTGCGAGACATTTACTCATCCAGGAAACAGATGCCACTGCTCATAATCTCGGTAAGTGACAAGTAGGAAAATTTTCAGTCAGAATAATTTTTTCTGGTGTTTRTTTTTGTCTCTGGAGGCTGACAATGTATTTATACATTTGTTTACCCATTACCTGCCCACACCATGCACCTTCTCTAAGTATGTTAAATTAGGAAACTTGTTTGGCAATTTGATTGCCCTGAGCTGTATTCCAGGGTCCCAGCCAGATCTCTGTGCTGGTGTGTGCATGTRTGAAAGTCACTGGAAGAGGCTCTGAGTTACTTTATGGGGTGCAATGCTATATCCTGGGGGATTGGAGAGAGAAGATCTTCAAGGTCCTTTCCAGCCCAAACCATCCTATSAKTCTGTRCTGTTTGTGCACATCTTTTGTGCTTTCCACCCTCAGTCATTTCTCAGCTCAGATCCGTTTCTGATTCTGCCCCATTGCTGACAGTATTGACACGAGGCTGCCAAATCAATCCATCAGTTTAGGAGATAATGGAAATCTGTTCCTCTCCTGGGCCCTGTAATCAATGTGCAGGAGTGTCTAGGAGGCTGCTGTTAAATGGAAGTAGATTCAGGCGAATGGTCARCTAATTGCAGTGTGAGCCATCCCAACTTGTGCCCAGTGGATGCCCTCCCTGCTGCCAGGGATCCTGGCCCTGTGGATCAGGGCAATCCTGTTCAGGCCAAATTCTGCATGGGGTGAGTGCTGTGCACACAAACAGCTCACTCGAGGCCACTGGCCAAGGAGCAAGATTTTCAGGTAGCTGCCAGAGAGAGAATGGAGTTAACATCTGGTGTTAAATAACAAACAGCCCCTGCTTCTTCTAACRAGGAGGGCAAATTTTCCATCTCAGGTGGAAACCTGTCCTCATACAAAGGTGGCTGAAGTCTGTCCAGGTGAAGGTTGGAGCTCTGGTGAGAGCTGAAGCAGAAGAACCAGGCTCTGTGTGCAGTGGCTGGTGCCTGCAGAGCAGCAGGAGATTAACAGGGCTGTGTCAGTGTCTGGACTGGATCTGAGCAGGAGAATTAATTCCATTTCGTGTGTCTCACTCTCACTGTGGGGACCTGCTGGGGGTTAGCCCAGTAGCCTTTTTCTGATGGAGCAATAACAGCCCCCTGAGCTGCCTTACAACCTAAGAAAGAGCTGAATAGCTCTGGGACCCCCACTGGCTCTCAAATTGGCTYGGATTTGGCCAGTGGATTCAGAAGTTGTTAGATGGGAGCAGGCAGCTGGACCCCTGTGGTGCAGCTGCACTGGCCTCATTTCTCTGGCAAGACGGGCTATGAAAAAGGAAAGAAAAGGACAATGATCATTCTGGAACTGAGCAGAAAAGCATTGGCAGTTCAGTGAAACACCTGAAAAAGTCTTTCCAAACCTGTGAGGGAACAGAGGGAAAACACACACTGGCCTTTTCAGCTTCTCCCACTGGGACAGGAGCAGAACAAAACCAGAGATGAGACACAAACCTCTCATATTCACTTTCCTTGTGTTGTTCCCAGCTATTAAAAACCGTGAAACAGGGAAATTCATTCTAAGTGAAGACAACTATGTGCCAGACTCTAAAGTATTTATTGACATGGGTGTGGAGTGGGAATATCGGAATGACGATGACAGAGAAACGGTGCAGACCATGGGGCCACTGCGCAATGCAATCGTTATTCTGGTAAGTCAAATGAAAACCACCTTCCATGGAGCACAGRGTTACAGAGCTGTGATGGGCTAGCATGTAATTCAGATTCCTCTTGTGAGTTATAAGAAGACATCTGCTTCAATTATAAGACAATAGAAGATGTATTTTAATTCCTTTCTCCTAACTCGTTGCTCTGTACGAGAGTTATAATTCAGGGTTATGTGTTGAGCAGCCAGCTGTCCTGATTATTTCCTGCAATCAGCCACTGAGTAAAGACTCTGAAGCTTGTTTATCCCATCTGACATGTGGGCATTAGTCAAAAAAAGGTCAGAGTGGTTCATATCAGCTAGATCTAATAGCTCCTTCTCCCACCAATGTTTTGAAGATGTATCCTGCAGAGGCAGAKGCAGGATTTTTGTGCTTCCTGGCTCCCTTTTTCAGGGCACAGCCCATTCCACAGTTCCCCAAATCACCCAAATATATTCCTTTTTCATTGCAAATGGGCAAACAACAGACTTCAATGAGCAGGGGTAAGTTGATTTAGAATCCCTCTGAAACCAACTGTAATGTGTTGATCTACACCAGCTGAACTTCAAAGAAAGAATAAATATTATGTTTCCAAAGGACCAATATTTTGCTATTTGTTCACGCTGAGTTCCGTTTTCTTGCATTTGTCTTAGTGCAGTGTGATAACAAAACCTCTTCCTAAATAGTTTATATTTCTGTCAAGATAAAGTAAAAGGCTTTGCAGAATTCCAGGATTCTCATAAGAATATTTGTGTTTTATCAGAAATACAAGCAATTTTCTTTGTCACTTTCAGCTATCTCTGCAGTTGCATTTGCTTTGTCTTTTAGTGGAACYATCCATTATCATTTCAGTACAAAATTTCCTTCCTTCATGATGGGATATGGAAAAAATTTAGTATCATGAAGTCATTCCAATGCTGGCAAGGACAATAAGTCTAAATCAACAACAGYGTTTCTTAATATGCAGTTTAGAAACTCTGTATCATAATGATAGAGATACTTTTTCATCAGGGAAAAAATATGTTGAGTGCAGCTAAAAGGTTTAAATCTCTCCAGGGATGTTTTTATATGTGAGCCATGATCACTTTTTCACATCATCTCATATAGCTCCTGATATCAGTTGTTCCTATCTTTTTTCCTTACATCTGCTTCCTTAACTAGGTGATTCCTCACGGTGGTGCCAAGATATCTTTGACTTACAAGTACATGATCCATGAAGACTCCTTGAATGTAGATAACAATAATGTTTTGGAAGAGGACTCAGTGTCATATGAATGGGCTTTGAAGAAATGGTCCCAATGTTCAAAACCTTGTGGAGGAGGTAAAAACAAAACCCCAGACCATCCCCAATTGTTTCATTGCTACAAGACATCAGGGGCACCAGAGTATGGGAGGAGTTTTATTTAAGTAATGGATAAATATGTAGTAAATGGGGTTAAAGTCTGACTTTAATTGTTTGGGGGCAGATTTGGCCCCCAAAGAATGATTTATGCTTATGAAACTGAAAAATTGGACAAACATGCAAGATTTGGATGAGGGTCTCCAAGCTGTGGAAATACCAAACTTCAGGGTGTCACAGGGCAGCCCTCTGTAAATCCACATCCTGTGATGTGGCCTTTGCAATGTCAGAGTCCTGCTTTTGGGGCCAGACACGAGCCCTGATGCTGTTCCCCAGGTTGGTGCTCAGGTTGCAATGTTGGGTTGTGTCTGGGCAGGTTTGCAGAACATTTTTGAAATGCTGGATGTTGTTCTTTTCATTAAAGCGATGAAAAATAAGGGAATGAGCCATTCTGGGTGTTAAATTTGTGTGGTGAGTGTTTATTTGGTGCAAGTCACAGTTTCTCCAGTAGYGTGTCCACCTGCAGGGCATGCACAGCTTGTTTGAAACACGAGCCCTCTGTGGTTCTGAGAGTAAGGGTGATTTCTTTCCCAGGCTACCAGCTCACCAAGTACGGCTGCCGCAGGAAGACCGACCACAAGATGGTTCATCGCAGCTTCTGCGAGCTGATCCCAAAGCCCAAACCCATCCGCAGGGTGTGCAACCTCCAGGAGTGCTCCCAGCCCATGTAAGCATCCAGCACGGCTCCCTGGGGGTGCAGAGGGTGTCACACACAGCCAGCATTGTCACCTCAAGGAAGGTGGCTTTGGCTTCACCTCCATGGTCATTACAGGGATCCACACAGGGGATAAACTGCTCTGTTCTCCTCACAGAAATATTCTTTCTATGACTGCTGGTCATAGACTTCTGAAATAAGTCATGACTTCTGAAATAAGTTGCATTAGAAGTGCCGTTTTGATGCAGACATTTGTGTTCAGGCCATCTTGAGGTAATACAAAATAGGCATGAATTCAATTTATGCCAGTGGTACACTGTGTGAATTAACCATGTCAGAACAAATGTACAAAGTGCTACATAAGACAACCAATGTCATCCAGCCTCTCAAATCCACTTCTTCATAAAGTTCACAGCATATTTTTGGGCATTTAARCACAGGGAAAATATTTGACCTGTTATACTTCTTTGGCTGCCCTTGTACAGCACAAAATGCCTGTAGTACCTTCATTTTTGCTCTACATAGTCAAGCATTATAAATATTTTAATTCATATTTTACAGGTTATTTTTTTTGACTGGCAGCATGTTACTCCTGCCACAAATAAGACTAATATATTCCTTGTGCTGCTACTGCAACAAGAAAGGAGTATACTGATAGCAGCTTTTATCTCTGGGGACCAAGTATACGTTCCAGAAATAATAGCAAATAAATAGAACATACCACACAATATTTCCTAACTTCCTTTAAAAAAAAAAAAATTGAAAGAGAGAAAAGGCAAGAGATTATGCCCCATAAACTCAGCATGGGTCAGGGTTGAACGTTTATTTATTGGAAAACTGAAGTAATGACCTAACTGTATCTCAGGATCTCTGGAAAGGGCTGTATTCTCCTTTCAGCTGCAAATATAATTGGACCCAGGTACCACAAAGGCTCAATAGGATCCTAAATTATGCTTGGATCCCTGAAGTTTCAGTTAGCTCTGTTTCCATAGAATGTCATCCAAGCATTTTGCTCTTGTACATAGGAGAGGCAATTATTTAAGGGGTTTTACAAAGCTCTGTGACACCCACTGCACTAATATGCTGCTTCTTCACTTCTGGAAAAAGCTCATCTTTGTCTCAGARGTCACCTCAGGATTCATGGCTCCACAGCACCTTTCCCGGCAGCTCTGTAATTTCTGTAGGTTACAAAGTTGGGTGGAATTGTTACTTTCTGTTCATCTGAAGTGTGAAATACAGTGCCTTGTGCTATTTCTTGACTATTTCTAAACCCAGGATTTTATGAGTACTTTAGGACAATTCCTTCAAGCTTCGGGTGTTTCTCTAGAGCATGTACATTTTTTGGTTAGGTTTATCCCATGAATATTGTTTACACTGAATAATAATTCCATCCTGCAGGTCTCTGTACTCTGTAAATATTTATAGACTGCTGTATATCTTTACTTAATTAATTATAACCAAGCTTTTGGTAGWCTAGGTAAATTTCCTCTGGTCCTGTCTGTCCCTGTTGTTCTCCTCCAAGTTCTTCACAATTTGTAGCTGTAATTCACGAGCCTGTTTGGGTGATCAGTGAGGTTTTCAKCTACACCAGGAACATGGTCCATGGAGTGCCCAGGTGTGGGCCAGGCTGSAGCTGCATTCCTAACCCAGATATTTTGGCTTCACTCATGTGGKAACCAGCTCTGGGGACAGCTGATTCATGCTGCATTATGAGACAAAGCACATCTCATGCAGCCAGACCTGGGAAACTCAGCAGCATCCTTGGATGGCTGCTTTTGACATAAAAGCTACCTTATTTTTATGTGCGGTCTTGGAAAGGGCAGCTTAAAATYACAGCAAATACAGCAAAGTCAGAATTATGCTTATGTCAGAGATAACGAGAAAGATTAATATTAAAGATCTGGATCTTTTCAATGTTATTTYAGGGGCAGCCAAATAACCCTCACCATAACTGTTCATGTTTTTTTTTCATATCTTCTCCTTTTTTTCTGTATTAGAACTAGTATTAACAATCCTGTTAAACCTGTGTTTAAGAGTCTCAGATCAACARTCTGAATTTCACTCTGCTCGCTCTCTTTCCACCAACCCAGATGGGTCACAGGAGAATGGGAGCCTTGCAGCAAATCCTGTGGGAAGACAGGGTACCAAGTGCGGTCTGTGCGCTGCATCCAACCCCTCCACGACAACACAAACCGCTCTGTCCACACCAAGTACTGCAACAACGACCGCCCCGAGGGCAGGAGGCCCTGCAACAGGGAGCTGTGCCCAGCACAGTGGAGAATAGGACCCTGGTCACAGGTCAGTCTCTTTCTGGAGGTCTCAAACARCTTATTTCTGATTGGTATGGCAAGTAGTGCGACCCCTGTATTTTTGAATAGATGGCTCTGTGTATAAACTATTCACATGTAGAGTTGTTTAGTGCCCAGACCACAAGCTCGTTCTTGAGTATTTCACAATTCCTGGTGTACCACAAGGAGCAGTGAGTGGCTCTCCCTCTTGCTGAGTTCCTGTAGGAAGTAGCAGTGGCTCAAGTAATGCACTGAATCAGCTCAAATCAAGGGCAGTTGTTTAAAATGGCAAGGTTAATTTGTACCCCTTGTTGCCAGAGGGTGGCTGGGGTGTAACTGCTGCATGTCCTTGCAGTGCTCTGTCACCTGTGGCAATGGCACCCAGGACCGCCCGGTGCTGTGCCGCACCAGGGACAACGCCATCGGCCTGTGCAAAGACAAGAAACCAGAGACCCTAAGGATCTGCAGACTACCTCCCTGCCCCAGTAAGGCCTTGTCTTCTACAGCTTTTGTKACTTGTTGAAAAAGGATTAATTTAATTATTTGCAATGCCTTCATAGAAGTGATGCTTATGTATTAGTACTGCCTGGGGGGACWCTTCTCCATAGTCCCTGTTTTGAGCAGAATTCCAATTGTACAGCTGCTGGGTGGCTTCTTGGGGATTTGGTTGATCTCTTCTGCTGCTGGGGAGCACTGCTGTGCCCAGGACAGGCTGAGAGCCTGGGGCAGAGCTCAGCACAGGGCTGATGGCTGGCTGTGGCCAGCAGCTGACSGCTGCCCTGGGAGGGGAGCAGTGCCCGAGTCCAGCCCTGCACCCCTGGGACCTGCGGGGCTTGGCAAGGGGCTGCTGGGCTGTGATTAACCAAGGATGCCTCTTTGCTTTCCCCATCTCCACCAACAGTTCCAGGCTTCCTTTCCATTCTGTCAAACACAAGTTATCTACGGGGGTTATCTAACTCAGTTTTTCAAAGCTATAATTAATTTGTTCCTGCTTAATCCGGTGCAATAAGGTTTTTATTCTTGTTAGCTTTTCAGCTGTTTGCAAATGATACTTGTGAGATCATTTCACATATTCCTATTATTAAGTAATGCATATTTTTCTTTTTTTTTTCCTGATGTATTTCTCAGGGTAGCTTTTGGTTTTTAATTAATTAGATGCAAGCTGTCAATTATAGTCTGCAATAGAAAGATTTTAATGAGGCAGTGTAACTAAACTAGACTGCATGTCTCTGGGGACATTTGTGACACTGCCATGAGAAGTGTTGCTGGGGAACTGGTCMGTGGGCTGCCCTCAGTGTTGGCTGGGAAATGCTGGGCACGAGTTGTAGCAAAGTCCCTAAAAARCACCCTTTGCCCAAAACCACACAGCCTGGTCATAATCCTTCCCTGGGCTCCTTCCCAACTGGAGCCCACTCGTTCTCTGAACTTGTCCCCTTTTGGCAGGGAAATTGCTTAACGCTGTCTAACATATGTTGTGTTGCTTCTTTTTTTTCCCCCTCTATTCAAGGAAACGCTTCTGATCCTTCAAAGAAAACCTACATGATACAATGGCTGTCAAGACCYGATCCAGACTACCCCATCCAGAAAATATCTTCAAGTAAAAGACCCATTTATAACTCTGCCTTTGCCCTTAAATGCATGCCACATCGAATGTGGACTTTGCCTTTTGCTCTCTTCTTCTCTCTATGCGGAAAGTTTCCTTGACTTTGCCAAGTTTAAATCTTGGGCTGAATCTGTTTTTTCACACCAGGCACTTGGTGCTCGGTGTCTTTCTTCTCTGGAGCTTGCGTAGCGCTGGTGGTGGAGGTCTTGAAGTGTTGGATGTGTGAAGTTGGATCTCCACAGTATGTTGCAGTCCTCTGAAAGGGAGCTGGGATCGGTTTGCTTGTTGCTTGGTGGTGGTGAAAAAAGGCTCTTACTGGTTCCTGATGTTCAGTTTGATAGCAAAACTGAGAACTTATTGTGAATGTGATCACATCACAATAATGACACCTTGTAGTGCTAAAGTTCTCCTTTATCTAAAAAYCCGAAATCTCTTAACTCGCTGGTTTCAGTTCGCTGACAGGGTAGTCTGATGAGTGGAAGAATTTTTTCATTCCRTTTTCCTTTGTGGTGCTGTTGCTTTCCTCACCCTTGCTGCTCATTTTTTATCCCTGACCCTCACCTTTACGTTTGTGGCCTGTGGAGGGTTCTCTGGGAAGCAGAAGCTGAGTTTCTGTCAGTGCTTTCCGTGCTGCTCTGATGCTGTCGCTCTCGCCAGACTCCCRGTGGTGGTTTGGTGGGTTTTCTCCTCGAGAAGAGCCGCGTTCATTTTTTTCCATCGCACAATTTTTGCCAGTTTTGCGTACTTTAGAAACAAACCCAAAGCAGAACAGGCGTGGTCCATGGTGAAGGTGGAGTGGTGGCGTTTTCCTGAACGTGGCGGAGGCAATATGATATTTTGTTGACTACAATGTCTCCAGCTGCTCAGCATGGAGCTGTTTATACTCATGACATCTCTGGTCTTTTTTCACCATGTGCATGTCTGACTTGACTGGTGCGGTTGTGTGCGTGTGCGTGCGTGTGTGTGCTCGTAGATGTGTCAACTGGCAAACATAACAGTGTGAACTACTACAGAATTACCTCAATTTTTATTGCTTTTTTTTTTTTTTTTTTTTTTTTTTTTTTAGAAGATGAATTTTAGAAAAATGCCTTAATGTTGAAATGTAAATGGCATTAATTTACCAGATCCAGCTTTAAATATGAACAGTACACTGGTACCTTGAGTTGATCTTCATATATGGAGTGTTTTTACTTGAACGATAACTATTGGAAGGCAGTAAATTTAATTGGAGGTTAATTTGCACAGTGCATATCCATATCTTCATTGAGACAGGATTGTGGCCTGACTTACTGAGATTTAACTGGCATTCGTGCTTCACCTTCTGTGTTTGTGTTGAAGATTTGGAACTCACAAATCATAAACTTCTTTGTGACAGTCAGTACCAATAGTARAAATGTATCAACTGTAAAACTGCAGTCTTGGAGCAAATTACTACCTTATTGCTTTGATCATATTTTTTGGAAAAGTGGCATTTTTGAATCTTTGGGTCGTCAACAGTGTAGCACTTCAAACTTGTCATTATCATGTGATCACATATTTAAATTTTGCTGTTAATATTTCCTGAAACATGTTAACAATTTACATGACAAGGTGAAAAAGCAAAGACACGTATCTGGCACTGAATACTGTTATGTAAAATAATCGGTGTTTAACTGTATAAATATATTAATGACTGTTACCTTTAAATAGACAATGTTTAGTGATGTTTCAAGAGATGGGTGGCTATAGAGAATGGTGCAATAAGGTATCTGGGCATTGTGCACTATGTCTATATGCACTTTGGTTTATCAGGGATATTTTATTAGTGTTTTGTATGTATTTAACATAATATTAAAGATGTGCCAATTCAGTTTGCTTTTCAATATTTTTTTATGAGACTAATGTGTACCAAAGTGACTGTGAAACTGATTTATTTTTTTCTTACTGATGTTTTGAATATATACTTCCAGTCTGTCATGCATACTGCAAGTAAAAATAAATAAAAGTTCAGCAAATCTGGATATTTTGGTTTGGATAGAGGATCAAAATTTCATTCTGGCATTTAGAAGTTACAGAATTTATTTATATAACTTATCAGATGTCACTGAACTTATTACATAATGCAGGTTTATTTCCATGTATTTTTAAGCTTAACATTGCATGGTTTTGTTAGGACAAAAGGCATTTTTCTAAAGGTGCTGCTAATGATTCTAAGTCACAAAGTCAAGAACAGACCTGCCTTGTTGAAACCACATTTAAATGTTCTCTCTGTTGGCTTTTATCGTGCAAGCCTTTTGGAGGAACGTGCTTAAGGGTCATGCAACACAAGGCAAAATGTTCAAAGGGAGCTCTTTTGTGGTATGTAAAAAATGTATAAAGCTGTATAGGCACGTGCAGGCCTTTGCATGGAGCTGTGCATGCAGGTATGAACAGTTCCAACTCTTAAAGGCTGGTTTGAAAATCTCTCCAAAACCATTCTTAGGTATTATTCTTAGGTTCCTAAGGAAGGAGCCATTCCTAATTTCCTGCAGCATTTCAGTTTAGCATTTGAAAAATATGAAAATTTCCTGACACATTCTAAAGTAGGAACTGGAATTTTGCTTTTCTGCAACAAATGTAAAAATGAGGGCAGAGATGCAGTGTGCAGGAGGTGTTTTCACCTTCCTCAGCCAGCAYTAGCATTTTAAAGCAGCAGCATCAGTTATTAGTTTATTCTAGACTGCTATGTTTGCCAATTAAACACCCACAATGCCCTGTTTTGTTAACTGAGGATGAGTGAGGAGGTGGCACCTATGCTTTCCAAGTTCCCTTGGTGTCTCTAAACCTGCTGTGCTTCTCTCCTTCACTGTGAGGGTGCTGACACAAACCCGTGCTCCTCGTGGCAGGAGGGTGAAATATGAGCTCCAGGAGCAGGCTGAGAGCTGTCTGCCATCGGGTGCACTCTAAATAAAGGCAAATTATTGCAGTTACTCATCCTTTACTGTAAGAGTAGGTGGAAATGTAGTAAGAGCAGGGAGAGAGACACAAGTGATTTCATCTGTCTCAGCATTCTGGTCACAGAGAAGAGGTTTTGTTACTGATGRTGCCAAGTGTTGGTCAGTCTGCCTTTCTCCTCTCCTCTCCTCCAAACCCTCTGACTGCTCTCTCAGCATGGGCTGCGTGTTGGGATTTTTCCTTCACAGCAGTGCCTGGTTCCATTACTCCATCTTGGAGAGCTGAGGGGTTCTGTGCAGGACACAGGACAGGCAGCTTTCTCTCCAAGGAGACTGCTAGACCCTCCCCATCCGTTTGCCACCCAGTTCATACARTTCCCTGCTCTGAGAAATATCAAGGGCTTGGGGAGCCTCTGAGAAGGCTTCTGTTTATGTTTCCCAGGCAGTAACGCTTTGACCTCTTCACCTTTAATTCCTCAGTCTGCAATTTACCACGTGCATTTCAGCAAGATCAGGATCTGCCACAACACCTCTGTTATTGTGCAGATTGTTGTAACAGCTATCAACAGCTTAAAGATGATCAATTGTCCTTCTTTCTATTTTATTACGGTTATTCACACAAAAATCAGGCCTTGTTAGAGTCTCCCAGTCATTAATGGACTGGTTTGGCTCCATTGCATGGGAGTTTGTTGTTCCAAAATTATCAGCTCACTTTTAGGAGGAGGAGAAAATCCTTGTGGTAAATTAACCACTTTTCTCTTGAACAAGAGACATGCTGAGAAAATGCTGCTGTTTTCAGAGTAGAAAATATCACCCCAATGGGAGATGGATTAATTTCTGAGAGTTACATGGTACACATCAAAATAAGACTTGACTTCCCTCAGACAGTCCAGATAAATATATGTTACCCCTGGCTGTGGTTAGTCACTGTTCGGTTGCAGAAAAGCATTAAAAGGAGCAAGGAGGGAAAAAATAGATTTCTTAATATAAACCTTGATATTTGTGGGAGTTCAGTGTAGCTTTAGCAACAACACAGCACAATCAGTGTGTTYAGAAGTTTAAACCAAGACAGGAACACAATTCATTGTGGCTTCATGGTCTTCAGGGYAGTGCTTCCAGGATGTGAAGGCAAAAATTCGAGTGTTGTGGTCTGGAGCTCAGATGGGCTTGGTGCAAACAGTTCAGATCAGCTTTTGCAGCTCTCGAAACGAGTTGACTTTTAGGCTGAAYATAAAGCTGCTTCTGCTTATAGAAGGCTCATTTGCCAGTTTCCCATCCCACTTTAAATACCAAACCCTCTGCCCACTGCCAAAGCTTCAGCTGTGTTTCTTTTTCGGATTAATGGGAAGATGCTCTTTATTTATCCATTCCCTTTTTCTCTTTCAGAAGATCATTGTCAAGGAGACAAGTCAATGTTTTGTCGCATGGAAGTTCTGTCCCGCTACTGCTCCATTCCTGGCTACAATAAGCTGTGTTGCAAGTCCTGCAACACTTACAGCAACACCACGGAGGACGGCAATGTAACTGATGCCAATGTAAATAAGAATAATRTCATTGAGGAGGAGCTCCGGACCACCCTCAGCCCTCCCGTGGGAGTGCCCACAGCACAATCTGCCACCAGCCCTCCTCTGGGTCCCAAAACACGGGCACCCCCTTCCAACGGGACCGAGGAGCACCCCGAGATCAAYGCGGTGGATGTTCCCTACAAAGTCGATGGGTTGGATAACGAAGTTCCGCAGCACAACATCATTACACGGAGGAGGCCTTATGAAAGGACAAGGAATCAAAGAATTCAGGAGCTGATTGMTGAGAAAATGAAGAGAGAGACTCTTAGGAAAATAAACTAAAACGGAAATATGGCACAAACAACATTTTTCTCTTATAGAGATGCTACCAACGTCATAGTATTGGCCATCGTAGAGACTAAAAATGGGGAAAAATCAAAGTGGTGCTATGGCAGAGATACCAAATTCTCAAGCCTACTATAAATGGAAATGACAGATTGTTTCATAAGTGCTAATCTGAACACTTTGATGGCTAGGATAGGTGTACAGGGTACGGCAGAGTATTAGTGCAATATCCCTACAGTGTCCCACTGAACCCACACTAACCACATTCCTTAGGCCAGGTTAGCAGCTTTCTCAGTTATGGGCTCATGAAAGCCTTCTATGCCTGTGTAAAACTGCTCGGGAATAGTAACAGGAGTCACACTTTGTATGGAGGAGAGCAGTCCCAGACATAATAAATCCCTTTAACAGCGACAAGCAGGGGGTCAGCAATSCTGTGATGTTTCTGTGCATTGCACAAACCCTGGCACCAGCACAGCCCGCTTTGGGAAGCTCCTTCAGGACATGCCAGGCTCGGTTTGGCTCCCTTTGGCAGAGCTGCCTCTGTGGTCACAGCTCAGCATGTGCTCACGTAGCTTCCCGAAGCAGGACTGTGTAAGAAAATATAGAGAAATTTCTGTAGCCATATATTTATGTGTAAATTAAAAACTGACAAACAGTAGTTTACATACTTCCATAAACAATTTCAAAGGATTCTCCTAAACTTTTSGACACATGCAAGACATTTAGTAGGGTAGATCTGGCCAACTTGGACTGACAACATCCTAGTCTTTCTGTTTACAATTATCCATATTTTTATAGTCTTTAAGTTCCTGTAATGCAACAGCCTCAGTGATCATTATTGGTTGGTGCTTTTTTTATTGGTCTGGTTTTTTTTTCTACCCACATTCTGTTTAACTTAAARATGACTGGATCCTTGTCTTTTCTTTGGTGCTTTGTTAAGAAAAAGATTTTTTTYCCCCCACATAGGATGCAGTTATTTTTGATGAAATAATTTTATATTATCTACCTTTCCTTAGGACAACTTTATTGGTGCAGAAGTGAACAACTGTTTGCTGTGCACTTACACAATCAGACACACATGCACGTGTATTCACAGCACCRGGTCTGCTAGAAAACTTTGAGATGTGTAACCTGACAACCCTTTGAGTACTTTCTTTCCCCTCATGGTTTTCATAGGTCATTTTGAATTCCTGGTTGGAGAACAGAGGATGAATCCAGCTTGGCTGTAACACTGCCAAGACAGGGAGCATTGGCTGGTTCCTGCTGTGGGTGGCATCTGAGCAGTTTTTTCCTGGCTTGGACCTTTCCACTTGTTTCCTCTTTGCTGGTAAAACTCCTGCAGAGCCTGGGGCTTCCCTGAAATCCTCTCTTTACCACTAGGTAGGTCTGGTGGCTCCAAGTTCAGATTTTCCAGTCTGGGAGGAAGATGTCACCCTCCAGCCTGAGCTGGTCCTGGTTTATAGAATAGAATCACACAATTACTGGGAATGTGCTGCTTTCCCAGCAAGGTGGGAGCTCTTCTCTGGCCCAGCTGCAGGCAAAGAGCTTCACAGGCATTGCAAAGTGAGCCACGTGTGACTCCCTGTGACCCTACCCCTTGTCCTTGACCACCACGGCTGAATGAGCTGCCAGACTCCTCTTCCAAAGGAGCCTCTCCTGCTGGGAAGGAGGCGAGGAATGCAGGATCCTCAGGATTCACAGCACCTGCATGGGGAACTGTTCTGACCTGAACTGTGGCCAGAAGTCTTTGAAACACAAGACCTGGTCTAAGAAAAATACTTCATGGAGGTACTAGCCCAAGGAGGAAAGGAGTGTTTTCAGCTTTTTCAGCTCGTGTCACGGCATCAAGCGCCCCTTCTTACGGAGGACTGAGGTGATACAGCTGGAGCAGCTCAAAGCGCAGGGATGAAGTTACACTGAACACCATGAAGACGGGGAAGCCCAACAGGCTGTCAAGAGTCCAGAGCATTAGGAAACATCCCCTGGGCCGAGCARACGTGGCTGCAGATGTGGAAGCAGCAGAGCCATCCTGAGCAGCGATCTGCTCTGGTTTGGAGCGGTGGAACAGGGACTGTGCGGTTTGGCAGTGCTGTGGGAAGGGCTCCACATGGGCTCTGTCTGCTGGGACATGGAGTGTTCTCCTGTACTCCAGGGGTGCTCCTGTCCAGTGTTCTGTCCCAGCCCTGCTCCGTGACCTGCCGGACATCTCACGGCCACCACGGTGCACGGCCAAGCCCCGGGAGCCTTGTGCTGGGGGATTTGTGGTTACCAACAGACAGGACAAGTTCTAACAACAGTGTAGGGTCAGGTCACGTCTGTGCATAACAGCAGTGAGCACTGAAGAGAAAAACACCCCACCAATGCTATTTATAAGCAAGGAAGACGTGTCTAAATCAACATCATTGCAGCTGCTGGGCCATGGGAGACACRAGCTGTAGCTGGGCTCCCAGCCTGCAGTGACAGTATTTCTTGCCTTCCACAYTTCCTTTACACAGATGAGTATAAAACTCATCTTTTCCCCTTCAAGTTAAAATCCTTTCAGCTCTGTGGACAATAAAAATAAACCACAACCCCCTGCTTTTTCATAGCCTAGAAACTCATCCAAGCATGTTAAACCTAGGAAAAACYCTCACAAACCCAAAGMTGGAAAGGGTCTGAGCTGGATTTAYRCAGATGGGGAGGTAAAAGTTTSCTGCCTGGAGGGTACCAGTAAATCTCTGGGACTTTTTGAGACCAATTGCTCCAACCCCCTGAGATAACTTGTCTGATAGTTTCTCTTCTGCCTTAGCTTCTGGAATAGGCTTAGTCAACCAGGCAGTGTGAAGAAATACCATGGGAGGCAGTGCCCAAAGCCCAAAAAARGTATTTTTCCAGATAAAATGGAAAGTTCTGCTGCTTCAGGGAGCAGGAACAGCCTCCTGGAAKGCTGCTCTGGTGCTATGTTAGGTCCAGTGTTCATTAGGGACCCAGTGCAATGCCTGGTGGCATCTGCATTTTGGAAGGGCTTGTTCCCTTCTCAGTCACCTTTTGGGAGATTTAATTTGATTTGTTTCTCAATGGTTTAAATTCCACCAAAAGCAGCTTCAGTCTAGATTGCACAAAAATCGAGAGGTTGATAGTCCTTCTCTTCAAGGAGCAGGAGCCACCAGCTGCCTTCTCTTCACAGTCCTTCAGTGTGAGAGTTTGAAGTGAAGTCTCTTCAGACCAGGGAAGATGCCTTCTTTTCAAGCTGCCATGGGCTCTTCAGGAAGATGGTTTTTTTTTGTCAGCAGCTCCCCATGATTTCTGTAACCTGAGAAAATCTACATCATTTCTACAGGGAAACACAACACAGGGCTCTACTGGTAAAGAAAAAACAGCCCCAGGCAAAGGGTKGGAGTTGCTCCCCTGACCTTCCATGTCATGCAGTGGAAAACTTGGTCAATTTTTTGGCTGTTTGAACTTTGACAAGTGTTTCATCTTTTCTGCAATGCTGTAATTGGGCAAGAGGACCATCGCAGTGTCTCTTTTGTGATCAGTTTGCTGCTGCCCAGGTGCTGCATTTTCAGGCACAAAAAGCAGACCATGATATTTTAATATAACCTAATCCCCAGAAACTAAAGCAGGTTTATAAMCAAATGTATCCCTGCAGAGACCATCTCAGAGATCTGAGAGATAAAGCAATGTGCTCCCATGAAGCAATGCGTTTATGATTTAAACATTTAATTACAGAATTTTTTCAATTGTCATTTTTTGGTTGTCTAAACTTAAAATCCAAGTGACAGCCTCTTGTGAAAAAAAAAAAAAAAAAAAATCCCAAACATTTTATTTGGNTTCCTTTGGTTTCTTTAGCTCCAATCATCTGCCATTTTTTTCACCAACATTCCTTTAAAAAATTCTGTTATCCATTATGAATGCATCACTTTTTATATTCATATATCCATTCAATATTTAGAGTCTCACAACATCTCCATAGAATGCTTTCAGATATTTTGAGAATTCTAGAAACGGTGCTTTACCAGTACTCAAAGGGTTTTATGTTTTATTTTATTACGTAATGCATTTAATGTCTTATTTACTCACCTACAATGCACAGTATTAGCTATGTTCATCTGAATATCTATATGCAACTTCCATACACTTACATATGCCTTAACAGAAATTGCAATAAATAGCCATTTCTTGTGTATTAAAAATGTATATACAAATTAGAATCTTTAATTTTATAATTTATTAAATTCAAATGTCTGTGTTCTTTTGCAAAAAAAAAAGTGTTTGGCTTTTCCCTGTGCTTTTTTCATTGAGTTGATATTATKCAGAGATGCTGGAGGATGAGGAAGCAGCATCTCCAGATTCAAAACCAATTCAATTTCTACAACTTAATGAAGTGGGATTGGGTTACACTTGCTGCCAAAGTCCTACATCCTTGTTACAATATCCTTTATCCAAGGCTAAATATCATAAAGTCACTGGACCAAAACCTCAGTTGATAACAGCATAGAAATTAATCAAACTCACTTAAACCTGCTTGAGGCCGAAATCTGTCCTGAGCTGTGTATCATCTTTTTAAAAGCTCAGTTATTTGGATTTCTGTTCAGGAGAACAGAGGAGCAAATTCCACTTTGCATGTCCTGTTGATAAAATTGATAAAAGCTCCTTTCCACGAAATTGTTTTGCACACATTCTCCTGCCATATCCTGCACACTCATGGGCAGGTTCCCTTTAAAGCAGAATCAAATCTTTCCCATCTGATTGAAGTTTGTTGCTTGAGGATTTGAAAGACCTTGATTACCATGATTATCCAGTGAGCACCATGCAGTGCATTCAAGTCCATCATTCTTTAATCAGGTACTGAGCCACCACTTTTCCACATGGRAAAGTAATTTACATACTGAAATGCCCCCATAAAACAATGAACCAGCCCAAACCTGGGGTCATCTACTGTGGTAATTCATGCAGTATTTACTGCTGTGACAAGGCTTACATTTAATTGTCTTTTGCTTGCACAACCCAGAGATTTTGAGATTTTTTGGAGTGGCCATGGGAAAGGGTCTCACATCCACACCCCAGACCCGAGAAACACCCAAGATGGAGTCAGTCATGTCCAACACCTCTCCTTCCCCCTGGATTTTGCTCTCTCTGTCTGAAATGCCAAAAGATGACACCCATACCAGGCCTTCTCTTCCTCTCCTGCYCTACATTGGCTTTTTAACCCTTTTCACCATCATCTGGCTCTGAGAAAAACATCTTTAAAAGGCAGCCCAAAGAACAATTCCAGGCCAGSAAAGCAGTTATTCAGGTTATTCTCAATTTCACCAGGCAGAAGGCATCTCCTCCAAAGTGCTGTGCAAATTTGACYGCCCCTTCCCACAAAGAGGGGGACACAGGATGATTTCCTGTGATGATTTTCAGCTCTGTGATGATTTTCCTCCTGCTCTGTGTTCTGGCCCAGGACTTGGCTTTGCTCACAGGGGTCACAAAATGCTGCTGAGCCTTCCTGGGAGATGAATGCCCRAAAATCCCACTGGAGCTGAGTGCATCGCTCACCTCTGCTCTCCCCCTGCCCCCTCCTCCTTCAGCAGCTCCCAAAGCCCAGCAAGGACCGAAGCGATGGAGCCACAGAATGGCTCAAACACAAGTGACTCTCCCAAAATCTCTTTAAGGAAGGAGCAGAGCAGAATGACACATTTGAGAGAAACCTCCTCGTAGTGAATCTGCCGGGTTTTAGGGCTCATCAGYCACGAAGCTGCACCGAGCGCAGCCCCAGCAGCACCGGGGCTCCCGGCAGGCCGGGGATGTTTCCCGCTCGGATGCGGATTCTGGTGGTGTCACCACTAGATGGTGGCACGGCACAAGAAGTACGAGAATGAAACAGCCGCTGGACTGTGATYCCAGCCTGGAAAATCCCTTGGTCTGGGACGACGGGCTCAGGAAGGGCGGATGGAGTAACGCCCACTCGGCTCATCCCCAGCACGGGATGGTTASTATAAAACTCATCTTTTCCCCTTCRAGTTAAAATCCTTTCAGCTCTGTGGACAATAAAAATAAACCTCAGCCCCCAGCTTCTTCGTAGCCTAGAAGCTCATCCAAGCATGTKAAACCTAGGAAAAAYCCTCACAAACCCAAAGATGGAAAGGGTCTGAGCTGGATTTACCCAGATGGGGAGGTAAAAGTTGTTTCCAGATCACTGATCTTCCTCACCAAATGTTTTTTCCCAAGCTTGATTCTGTGGCTGCTAAGCATCGCTGGTGTCTGAGGGTTTTATTCCTTTAGATGGTAATTATGTTTCCTGCAAGCAAGAAGGAAAATTTGAATCTCTGAGTTATCTCAGCTGATCATTGCTGTTAGTGAGTTTAGTGCATGAAGGCTGTTGGTCTTTTCAGATAAATTCTGGCACCRGAAGTCCAGACAAACAGCTTTAGATCACACACCTGTTGTATTGAAATGCTAAGCAATGGCTATTTCTAGAAAAAAAAAATCTGCTTGGAACCATATCCTGAAGGGATGCACAAGTCTGTTGAGCTGCTTATTTCTTTTTACTGGRGATAAAGAAAAAACCTGAATGATGAGTGTGTGCTTGGGTGACTAAACCAGCAGTTACAGMCAATTCCAGCCTGAATGCTGGTAACACAGGGAATATTTGCACTAAAACTAAAGCAGGGATTTTTAATCCAGGGTTTCTGCTTTTCTCCTCATCCCTCCAGCAGGTTAGGACAGGCGTTGTGGGGAGCAGCAAGGCTCAGAAATGCAGTCACRCTCCCTGGGCTGGGCACTCAGAGATGTTGTGTGGGATGGCTATTCCCAGGAAAGAGCAGCAGCTGCTGGGGCTGCCTCTGACGACAGCGTTGGGAAATAAATACAGAGGGAAGATTCTGCTGCAACAGAACAATTCCTCTCCCCACGCAATGTGATGCTGCAAGAGACRCTGTGAGAGGGACTCCGGGGTCATTCCAGAACTGCAATCAGTTTGGAGCATCTTAATAAGGCAGGAAACAAAGGTAAATTCCTGCTGCCCAGGGACCTGCAAGGCTGGGTGCTGCCACTGTTCCTGGCAAAGCAATTTGCTGTAATGCACTTGTGTGGCCTCGGAGAAACACGAACAGGGGCGATGCTGGGAGCTGTGGGAGAGGGGCTTGGTGGAGCAGAACCCAGGGAGGTGCCGTGACAGGGCCGGCTACTGCTGAGCCTCCACAGCAACAGGGAAGAACAGCTTGGATCAGGGATGTGTGACTGAATGAACCCAGGGATGTGCAGCTCGGACCAGGGATGTGCAGAGCAGCCCAGGGATGTGTAGTTTGGCTCATGGATGTGTGACTGAGCCCAGGGATGTGCAGAGCAGCCCAGGGATGTTCAGCTCTGCCCAGGGATGTGTGACTGAACCCAGGGATGTGCAGCTCAGCCCAGGGAGGAACAGCTCAGAGCAGAATGGAATCAATGACAGAGAACAGAGAGCAACACTAACGATGCTGCAAACATTCACTGCCTCTTGGACAAACCAGCACAAATTTGATCACAAAATAAGGCAGAGAAGGAGCAAAAACAGCCCGAAACCCCAATGATTCCCTTTTCAGCAATAAAGCATGGAGCAACCACGGCTCCTCTTTTCCCACCCCAGCCTGAAGCACACGCAGCCCCTCCCGCAGCACGGCCCCGGCCCCGCGGTCCCCTCGCCACGGGGAATTGTCGCCGGGCAGCCTAGAGGGAGGTTTGGCAGTCGAACGGTGGGGATGGACAGCCGAGAGGAGGGTTTGGGCAGCCGAGAGGAGGGTTTGGGCATCCCTCAGCAGGGATGGAGAGCTGAGCCCCGGGGATGCGCCAGGGCCCGGCGGTGCCCGCGGGCTGCCCCGGTGCCTCGGCGGCTGCGGCTCGGGCAGGGCAGGCAGCCAGCGGGATATATTTAGCAACAGCAACAAAACAGGCAGCGGGATCAGCTGACTGAGGCAGGGAGCTGGCGCATGGGTTAGTGCTCGACAGCACAGCTCCTGTGCGGGGAGCAGGGAGGAGCAGCGGGGCACAGCCGCGCCGCCAGGGGAGCGACCGCCGCCCGAGCCGAGCCCGCAGGTAAGGGGAGGGGGTCTGGCCGCGGGCTGGGGGTGCTGGAACAGCCGGGGGGATGCGGCCAGAGATGCTCCAGGCACGGTGGAGGGGCAGCTGCAGCGCTGGGGCTCCGCTCCCCGGGGGCTGCAGGTGACAGGGAGGTGACCGCGCCAAGGGGAYCGCAGCCGGGCGGGGGTGATCCATCCCATCGGAGGAGTTTTACTGAAAATAGGTAATTGAATTTCCTTCCGGAGGAAGGGCGTGTTGGCAGGACTCAGTTAGCGATCAGCACTATCGTGACTGAGCACGACATGCCCGTGCCCTCATCAGGAGCACCCGGCCGCTCTCCCGCGGGCCCAGCCCGACCCTGCCCAGCTCGSCAAGGGCTGCGGGGAGGAAGGCAAAGGAGCAAACCTTGTCTTTAAGGCTTAAAGACATGAGAGAAACGGAGCAGGCAGGGAAAAGGATGATAAAAAGGCCTTAAGGTTTAAAACAAGCATCTCCTRCGCTCAGGTCAGCAAATCCCAGCTTTGCTGGCTTCACCAGCAGCACCTGAGAAAAACCCGTAAGGGCCAGAAGCAGCCAGGGGAGGGATGGGCACCCTGCGAGATCTACCCTGGGCTCGGCACGARCTGCTCATTTGTGCTCCCTGTGTGATCTGCAGCTTTGCAGGGAGGTTCAACAAAGCCAGATTTATTTCCAGCAATGACAAGCAAGGCATTAAAATAGCTAGCAAAGCACTTTTGCGTTTAATCACACAACAAAGCTATATTGTGTCTGCAGATTAGTCACATACAGATTTCATTGGGGGAAGCAGTTAAAAAAAAAAGTTAATCCAAGCTGTGGTCATTTCTGCCAGAAGGGGAGATAAGCAAAGCGCAGAGGGGAGTGTTTCAGAGAAAAAATAAAATCAGTACAGTTAGAAAACACTGTGGCACAAAATGGTTGTAATTCAATATATTTAACTGAGTAGTGGGAGCAGTTTAGTGGAAACCCATCCTATAAGGAGTTGAGGATGACTACTCGAATATAAACGACATTAATTAAATCCCTTTGACACTAAGCACTCATGAAGGGTCTGCTCTCCATAACTGCATTTATGGCACAGACAGAAGTGACCATGTCTGTTCTCACCTACAGCTTCTAGAAGGGACCGTGGTAATGTCACTTTTCTTACGTGGTGCTCCCCACAGGGCAGGGCAGCTCCTCTCCTGCTGGCTCCAGCTCCTGCCTGCTGGGACACAGGGTGAAGTCAGAGCCCTGTTACAAGGAACAGCGGTGGAACATTGAATTAGGAGAGGAGTTTGTGCCTTGCTGCTACAATAGGGACAGTGAAACAAGCTCATGCCCCTGCCCCATACCACACCAGCTCCCTTGCTTTGCTTCAGGAGGGAGCGCCATTGCTGTTCTCCTTAAGGAGCCTTTCATTTACTGCCACATTTAATGACTTGGCTTACTTGGTACATTTATGAAGCTCTTTATGAAGCCATGGGTATAAAAGTCCTGCCAGCAAACTTTTAAAATGCAGTTTTTGTAAACAGCCCCATTTGCCACAAGAAGACATGGGTGGCTCAGGTAGAAACAARCCCAGGATTTCTTTCCCCAGCATGTCTCCACACTCTGATCCTGTCTGCTCTGTTTGCAGCCATGGCACCCCGGATCAGACTGAGCCTTTCCAAGCCTCTCCCGACCATACGGGAAACCCACGAGGAAGCGATGGAAGATCCCAGCAGTGCCCCAAAACGTGCAGGGAGCACTGCAGCCAGCCCAGACTCGTACTCCAGCGAGGACTACATCCAGTCCATCTGCCACCTYGCCAGGCCCACCTTCCCAGCCCTTCTGGAGAGCAGGCGAAAGGGTCAGGACAGAAAGACCCTGCAGAGCCTTGAAGATGTGTCACGGTCCCCAGCCCTTGAAGGGACACAGCAGGAAAGGTTAAAGTGTAAATTGACCGATTTCATCTCAAACATGGTGCCACTGGGAAAAGTCCCACCTGCAGAAATCGACTTTTGGTCCAGAGGGGATCCCCTGGAACAAATTTACACCCATGCAGGAAATGTTTGCTCCTCCAAGGCTCCTTCCTCTGGTGAAAGTGCCAGCACTGGTTACTCATGGTGCAACTCTTCTGCCCCAAATGGTGACCCTCATCCCACAAACCTGGAAGAAAAAAACACAGGGAAAAGCAGTTTTCCACGAGTGTTCAGTTTTCCAAGGCTTCCCTCCCCGAGACCAGCTCAGAAAGATGCAGTAGGCTCAGAGCTGAGATATCTCAGAAGGGATGAGGGAACAGTTTTAGGGAGTAACCACAGCCAGAAAGAAAAGGGCCCCATGTCCATTAATGCTGAAGAGCTGCTGGCACCCTCAGCCAAAGGGAAGCTGCCAGGAAACCCAGCCCTGCCCTGCTCTGTAAGAAAGCAGAGTTTGTTCAATAGAGCAGGCATTGATGAAAAAGAAGGAAGAGAAGCTTCTCACTTTGACAAAAATGTCGTGGGTGATGTCCCTGCTAAGCAGAGATACTTTGAGTCTTTCCAGGTACCTAAAAAAGCCACAATCCATAACTGGATTTCMGAGCACAGATGCATCTGGAAAGAAGCAAAGATAAAAGCTTGTTTGCTCCCAGCCATCGCTGAAGTGTGAAGAAGTAGCTGCCTGGAATAATTTTATTCAMAAGATATAACCACCCTGTGCTCTAGCAGCTCTCCCTGGAGTCCTCACACAGAAAACATGGCTTGAACATGCATGCGAGTCAGGCAGACTCTTGTGATCCATCATATCCCTCATCCGTGGGCAGAGGGACAMTTCAGAGTCTCATCTGCTGAGGAAACAGCGATCCGTTTTCATTTTGGAAAGGCAACAGTTCATAAAGCATCTCCTCCCACCTACTGCCTAGAACTGCCCTGAGCATGAAGAAAAGCTGGAGAGAGCTGGAGAGAACACAAATCTCATCTGTGCTGGAGGAAAAGTGGGAACATTGAAATATCAATGCTTTCCAGCCAATGCCAAGTCGCCAGATGTTGCTCACACTTGGGTACAGCTATTCAAAATGGATCCCTTTGCCCAAGGCTCGGACAGTACGAAATGTTCTCTCTCTGGCACACACCTTTACTGGGARACCCATCCTAGATCCCACCTCAGCACCAGGGTCCCACTGGAGAGGTCATCCATTAGAGCAGTAGCATAAAGAAATAGTTCTTTTAAATCATRWGAWGRCTTTTATGAGGATTTGCTGGAGGGCAACATGAAGAATATTACARCTCCTTGGGTGGGGATTTTCCTGGTGCTTACCCTGGCAAAAGYCTGATCCCTTTACTCCTGGACTTASCCYTGGCAGGAGGAGCTGGGAGCCCTGGWGGGCATTGCCAYGCCAGTGCTGTGGCTGTTCTGGAGCTGTACAGAGACAGGCATCGTGTTGGAMTCTKTCACAGCCAGGGGCACACCATGGGCACCCACGGGACTCTCTGCTCAGGTGCAGGAGCCCCAGGAGCTCACAGACAGCTCTGCAGGCTCAGAGGAGCAGCCTTGGCTGAGGGGCAGCCTGGGGGTGCTGGGCTGGTGCTCRCAGAACCTGAATGTAAAATAATAACTTGTGTGTTTCCCTTCGTATCCGTGCTGCTGCAATCTCACCTCCCTGAGCACTCTGGTGATGCTGACCATGCTCTGCCTCGTGCTGTGAGACTGAAACGTGGAAAAAACTGACGTGCATGTTCCCACCACCCAGCACAGAACAGACAAACAGTTCATGGTGAGGTTATTGCTGCGTGGGATGTCTGTAGGATGAGAAGCAGTCCCACACGGCTGGGAGATCCTGCCTGGGGCAGTGGGAACATGCCCAGGCCATCCCTCACTGCCACACGGAGACATCTCCATCCAGAGAAGCATCAGTGGCACTTCCCCTGCACTCAGAGAAACCTCTCCCACTGTGTCTGGTGCCACACTCTCCATAGCCAGTCTGGAGAAATAGGTGAGAAAACTGCAAAGCAATACCAGCCTAATTATTGGTACTGCTAGGAATAAATGTTTTGGCACAGTGGAGAGCAGAGGGACCAGGCTGTTTGCTCAACAGCAGCTAAGATGAGAAACAGCACTGGAGAGCTGCAATTATAAAAACACTCACAAGTGATTTCCAAACCACCCTCAAGCAGATTAAATGAAAAAGCAACTTCTACTCAGTACCAACATGAGTGTAAATATGCTCAAGGATCAWAAGGTGAGAGTGTTTGAGTTTCTCATCCTCTCATCTCTTACCTCAAATGTTTTTTTTCTCCTGTTGTAACTCATTAGTGCTATGGAGATGAGCTGCTTCTCAGCTGTTTTTGAACTAACCACACAGCMAGAACAAAAGTGAAGGTAACTCCAGCATTTATTAAAACTGCTGGAGAAGCTGAACCCAGAAGGTGCCAGCCTGCTCTGCCTCCTCCACACCTGTCCTCCCTTCTCAGGTAAATGCTGGGGTTTAAGTGATGCTTGTCCTCACTGCTCTGCTGTCATTTAAATTTCTCTCCATGTGAATATTTATGACTCTAATGCCTAACAGGTCTTGTGCCAATTGCATGTATCACTGCTTTTGACAGAGGAAACAAATAAAATCCTTCCATCCAGTTGTTGTTTCCGTTCTGCATTCCGTGGGGGATTATTTGTGGTGCTGGCTGGGTCCACAGCACGTGGGCTGTGACTTGTCACACAAACACCTTCTCACTCTAGCAGGTCACCAAAGACCTTCACTCCTCACCCCTTCAGCAGCTGCTGCCCAGCCYTGAGATTCCTTCTCAGCTGCCACAGAATTCTGCAATTCTCTAAACCCCAGAAACTCATCACCTTTTCTCTCCAGAACAAAGAGGTATGGGAGCAGATAAGATGGGCAACTCATGACACTCTGGAAAAGCCTCCAACTCCTCTGATGCAGGACAGGGAGCAGGTTTTGGGGGCTGGGCTAAGAGCTGGGGGATTTGAAAACACAGCATTAGCTCCAGGTTTACTCAGTGGTGGCTGCTACGTGCCCTTGGGGCACCARGAGTTTGGAGCAATGAAGCTTTGCAGTGATCTGGCTCTTTCTGGAGCAAACTTTTTCTTTCTCAGTGAGAACGGAGGTTCTACTCGAGCAGGTTTTGCAAGAGGAGCCAAAGCTGTTGGGATGCATCAAAGATGGGGACAAAGAGGCAGGGTAAATGAGGGGCATAGGAGCAGCAAGGCAGGGAAGGGAGGAGGGAAAGGTGGGGCTGGGGGTGCCATCGAGTGAGCAGGGCAGCTTCCAGCAGGACGGGGATGCTGGGTACCAGGGCTGAGGGATTCCAGCTGTGCAGGAACAGCTGTGACAGGTAAGGAAAGGAAACCAGGTTTAGCACAGGACAGAGGCAGCAGGCAGGGAGAGATGTTTCTATTCAGATTCAGTTAAATCCTGTTTTGAAAAGCACAGTCCTTGCCTTCTTCACCCTCAGCTCCATTGGAAAGGAACACGTTGGTCCTTGTGAAACCACTGCACAAATAAATACTCACCAGTTCCCTGGATGAGGCAGTTGTGCATCATCCTCCACCTGCTGCAGAGGAACTTTGGGCTGGATCAGTGAGGGAAGGAGGAGTGGGGCAGCCTTGTCACTCCCCTGCCACAGCCCCTCTGCCCCCAGCTGCTGAGGGAGCCTGCAGCCCTCCCAAAGGAAGAATTGGATGCTGTTGGGTGGGATAATGCAGTCTGTTCCCCCCATGGATGCTCACCTGGGCCATGAGGGAATGCTCCCCCTCTTTCCCTCTCTACAGAGCAGCTCCTGAGGAGTCACTGGCCAGGATGAGCCTGCAGAAGTTGCTGCTGCCTGTTCAGAAGTGCTCTCAGACAAGAAAGAAAACCTTATCGAGGAATTTAGGTCACAGAGTGAGATAAAAGCCGTGCTGCTTCCACAGCCCATCTCATGGCAGGCTCTGCATTTGAAGTCACTGGCAGAAAAATCTCATTTATTGAGAWCATCAGAACTGCGAAGGGATTTGGATTAATTTGAATGGGGAATTGGTATCCAAATCCCACCAGCAGCTTTCAGCCTCAGACTTCCCATTCAGTTCACAAGCAAACTGAGAGCTAACATGAAGTTTGCTTGCTTGATCATGCAGCCTCTTCCTGCTGCAAGCGGGAAATGCATTTGGACAGGGAAAATCATGACCAGAATGTACAAACCAGAGATGGCGAGGCAGAAAGAAAAYTGTCCCACTCTTTGCACAGATTCTTGTCTTTTAAATGACAAAGATCCCCACCAGCTCATGCGAAAAGTGAGGTAGAAACAGCTCCAGGAGCCTCTCCCTGRTGATCAGACCCGGGCAGGGCAGGAGCTGCTCACAAACTCCGACAGCACAGAGAGCCTCACTCATCCAGGGAGGGGCCTTTCTGTGCCCACACGGTCAGCCAGCAACAGAGATGATAAGAGACTAAAAYATGAGCCAGTGCAGAATGATTGCAGACAGGATATGGCATGAACGGGGCTCTCTCAGGGATGAAAGACAAGCAGGAGCAGAGACAAGCTGGAGCAGACTGAAGTGCTGTACGCAAACAGGGAGATGCAAGGAGGGGTATGAGCAAGGTTGGCAAAATCAGKTTCTAAAAAGGTCTTTAACTCTGAAGTTAAGATTAAAGAAGCTATTTTTGATTTAAGAAAAAAATCCAAATCATAAAACTCCAAGGAAATCGTAAAGCTTCCACCTTTTAAGGAGATCAGAYCTGAGCCTGAGGCAAAACCCAGGGTGGCTCAGCTGAAAGCAGAGGCTTTGTGGGTGATGCTTCAGGCTTTCCCCCTGCCCTGAACTGCCTGCATTTGGGCCTAATTGCTCATTGAGGGCACATTTTAATTAACTTCGAGCCTTCCTAAGTGGAGACTAACTTCATTTATCATGGTGCAGAATGAAGTTAAACTGCATTTAGTGACTAAGCAGGGATCCCTCAGCTTTGAATGAAGCCTTGACTGAACCATCAGCAATGTGAATAATGGKGAAAGGTTTTGTATTTTCCATTTGCAGCTGTAACCGTGGGCAGGAGGGAGCTCTGAAATGATGGCTGAAAGCTTTTCTGCCTGTGTTTGAAAAGCCAGAGCATTCAAGCCGAGCTCTCTGCCTTGCTCACCAGGGCCCATGTGTGTTTTTGTGGCTGGCAGCATTATGTGGGCCACAGCTGACAGCAGGGATGGCCCCTGAAKCGTGGGCTTGTGGCCTTTCCTCATGCTCTGAGATCCTCAAGCATTATCTAATTTGTTTGACACAAGCTAGAGCTGATGCAAAATACATGTTGTGTAAATAGAKAGATATTGTTCCTGGTAATTGCAGCCTTCCTGGAATTAATGGTCCTGGAGGCAACATTTCCAAGGATTGTTGTGAGGAGCTGTAGGAAAACCGGGCATTTTTAGAATACCAGCTTGTTGCTACATAAAGTTTGACCAAATGCCATTTAAATCAAAGGGAGCCTTTAAGTGCTTTGGAAYGGGCTTGTAATGGGAATAATTTCCTGCTGCATTTAAAGCACAGATTTCTAATAGCAGCTGATAAGGAAAATCAAATTATTACTTTATTTATTCGTRTGTATTAGCACTGTGCCAACTGTTTCTTGTCTTTGCTTTTAAACTAAGCTAGCTGAAAGCYCATCAGGCTGCTGTGAGCTCAGCAAAAACTGTGTGAGGCACCAGGTTCTGTCTGCCAGTGCCTCACCCACCTGCAGTGGCTTTGTCCCTCGGGATCAGCAAACCCCGGCTCTGCAGAGCGGCTGCTCACGCATGGTGAGAGCAGGAGAAGCCAGCAGGGACACTGTCACCTCTCATCCCGCAGCACAACATGACATTTGCAAGTCAGCTGTGCTCAGCTGAATGTTTTGTTATTTTTTCGTGAATGGTAAGTATGTGGGAGGGGAAATGGTTTATGCCAGAGGGGATGGACTGCTCTAAAACTCYCTGAGGGGAGGCTGCAGCCAGCAGTGCTGGTGTCTCCTCCCAGGTGACAGGCAGGACCAGAGGAAATGGCCTCAAGTTGTGCCAGGAGRGGTTTAGCTTGGATATTGGGAAGGATTTCTGGATGGGTTGTCAGKCCCTGGAAMARGCTGCCYGGGGGAGTGRTGGAATCACTGTCCCTGGAAGTGTTCAAAACCCATGGTGGCACTTGGGAACATGGTTTAGYGGTGGCTTTGGCAGTGCTGGGCTGAAGCCAATGATCTTGGAGGGCTTTTCAGACCTTAATCATTC